AATTAGAAGTCCAGAGGGGCGGGGATCCCTGGGTGGCTCAGCGGTTTGGCGCCTGCCTTTGGCCCAGGGTGCCATCCTGGAGACCCCGGATCGAGTCCCACATGGGGCTCCTGGCGTGGAGCCTGCTTCTCCCTCTGCCTATGTGTCTGCCTCTCTCTCTCTCTCTCTCTCTCTCTCTGTGGGTTTATCGTAAATAAATAAATTAAAAAAAAAAAGTCCAGAGGGGTGACGCAGCCCGGTAAACATTCCAGAAGTCACCCCTGAGCTCTGGCCTGGGCGCTGAGAGGGAACCGGCGGTGCAGGAGCCCAGATGAATTCCCTCACCCGGCCTGGGTTGGGGCAGGGGCCGGGCCGACACCTGACCCGACCTCAGAAGCATAACGAAAGGTGATGGTTTCACTGTGTCCCCCAGAAAGGCGGGCTGAGGTCCTAACCCCCCCAGTACCTGGGAAAGGACCCTTCTTTATAGGGTCTCTGCAGTGAGTTAGGGCGAGGTTAGACCAGAGCGGGGTGGGCCCCACATCCCGCGGGTGGCGTGCTTACAAGAAGAGGGGAATCTGGACACAGAGAGAGGGGCCGAGGCACAGGCCGGAGAGCTGTGTCCCCAGGCCAAGGAAGGCCCAGGCCGGGCCGGCGTTGCTGACGCTTTGAGCTTGGACTTGCTTGGGTGCGAAGGAGCCGCAGACCGGAAGGCGGGGGATGTCTGGTTAGCACAGATGTCTCTTGCTATCGGGGTGTCGCGGGTCTGCAGGTTCAAGATTCCAAGTTCTCTGACGCACACAGGTCTTGCGTTGGGGTGTGGCGTCCCATATCTGCTTCCTGCACCCCTGGGCCTACCTCCTCCCAATCACACCTGGCGCGCTGCCTCGGAGCCTTCCAGAGCCAGCACAGCGCCTGGCCCCCCGGGGAAGCCCCGCGTGAACATCGGCCTGAGCCACACAACACGGTCGAGACGGTGTCCCTGCAAGGCAGCCAAGGGCCCCGCGACCACCTCAACCTGGAGTCAGCCTTCAAAGGCAGGGAAGACAATACCTAAGAATATAGGGGGCGCCCGCTGGCCTGGTCTGTAGAGCAGAGCCCGTGATGCTTGAGCTTGAGGTTGTGAGTGCAAGCCCCACATTTGGTGTGGAAATCACTTAAAAAAAATAGTATCAGGATGTCAGCTCCATGAGGCCAGAGACCATCTCGTTCTGTACCCCCCACCCCGCACCCCGTGCCTGGACTGCCTGCTGCACGGTAGGTGTTCAATAAATATTTGTGAAATGAATGCCTGGATGTTTTAAACCAAAAGTGAGCTTGTCAAAGTGCCTTTTTTTGTTATGCATGGCATTTTGGTGTTTTTAATTAACTGCCCACATTTTTTTTTTTTTTTGAAGATTTATTTGAGAGAGGAAGCGAGAGAAAGCCAAGAACAGAACCTCAGTGATCAGACGATTCTGGCCCCAGGGGAAAGCAGCCGCCTAGTGCTGGCTGTTTGCTCACTCCGAAGGGCCCACCGCCAATCCTTCCTGACAAATGTCAAAGTAAATATCACAGTAAAAAAATTTCGAGTAGCACAGGGAGCTACAGGATTTAGGGGCACCTCCGTGGCTTGGGGCGCCCGGGTGGCTCAGTCAGTTGAGCGTCGGCCTTAGGCTCAGGGCGTGACCCCAGGGTCCTGGGATCGAGCCCCCGTGTCCCAGGTCCAGCTCCCTGCTCAGCGGGGAGTCGGCTTCTCCCCCTCCCTCTGCCCCTCCCCCTGCTTGTGCTCATTTTCTTTCTCAAAGAAATAAAATCTTTGGGAACAACAACAAAAAAGATTTAAAGTACTTCGGGCAAATGCTTGGGTATTTTTCAAAAATGTTATCGATATGTAATTCACACATATGACTCTTATAACATATAACACATATAATTCCACTTATGCAAATGAGATGGCAGGATGCTGCTGCTGGGACGACTGCTTTTCCTGTCACACGGGGATCCTGGCCTCCTTCAGAAGGTCTGATCCTTAACGTTCACGTGCACCACCGTGTAACCGGCACCGCTGTGGGTGAGTAGTCCTCAATACTGACCTGGCACCTACTACAAGCCACGCATGTCATGGGTGCTAGGGATCCACTTAGTGATGTGCTGGAGCCCGTGGGTGTTGACTACAGAAGTCATGATCGGGAACTGCATGCGCGCACCATGGTGGGAATATTTATTTTAAAAAGATTTTATTTATTTATTCATGAGAGTCACACAGAGAGAGGCAGAGACACAGGCCGAGGAAGAAGCAGGCTCCCTGCGGGGACCCCGATGCGGGACTCGATCCCGGGACCCCGAGATCACGCCCTGAGCCGAATGCAGATGCTCAAGCACTGAGCCGCCCAGGAGCCCCACGGTGGGAATATTTAAACTACGAGAACCCTCATCCGCTACAAACTAGGGCTTTATTTTTATTTTCCAGGTGGCTGCTTAACCACTACACCGCTGTCACGTCACAGAAAACAAAGCAGACAAAATCCCTGCTCCCGTGGTGCTTATTCTAATGCAGAAAACGGGCAATAAGCAAAATAATTACAAAAGCGAACAGGACAATATCGATGCCCTGGAGAAAAATAAGACACCGGACAGGATAAAAGGAACATTTATTTTTTTTATTTTTTATTTTTTTATTTTATTTTTTTATTTATTTATGATAGTCACACACACACACACACAGAGAGAGAGAGAGAGAGAGAGAGAGAGAGGCAGAGACTCAGGCAGAGGGAGAAGCAGGCTCCATGCACCGGGAGCCCGATGTGGGATTCGATCCCGGGTCTCCAGGATCGTGCCCTGGGCCAAAGGCAGGCGCTAAACTGCTGCGCCACCCAGGGATCCCCTATTTTTTATTTTTTTAAAGGAATATTTAGAGTGAGGTTATGACTTTAACGGGAGGAGGAGCACGTGATTTTAACGTGCTCTTAGAACAAAGGAGCAAACATTTCAGTGAGGGAGTAAACAGACATCTGAGGGAGAGAGGTTCCAGGTAAACAGCGTGTGCAAAAGTCCTGGGGCAGGACTGGGCCTGGCCTGGCCTGTCAGAAGCACATTGAGTCGTGATTGGCTGGAGCAGAGAGGGTGGCAGAGAGGAGGGGGCAGGGGAAGGTCGTGCAGGGCCTTGCAGGCCAAGGACTTGGGCTTTACCCCCCCACCCCCCACCCCCCCCAGGACCTGACGCGGGTGCTCAGGGGCGCCCTCCAGTGGCTGCCACGGGAGGACGGGGAGGAGCTGGAGCAAGTCCAGGCAGATGATGGGGGGGGGCGGCGGGGGGCGGGGGGGGGGTCACAGACCTGGGAGAGACTTTAAACTGATTCAACCCTGACGTTTTTAGGCTGAGCTCCTGGAACGAGAGTTCCCCCGCTAAGTTTGGGGCACCTCACCAGTGTCTAAGTGGAGATGGGGTGGGGCAGCCGGACCCCGAGTCTGCAGCTGGGACCAGCCTGCCTGGGCATGGGATGGGGGGGAGCCGGGTCTCTGAGGAGTTCCCAGAACGGACTGGGCTGTCAGACCCTGCGGGGAGGGGGAAGACACACTGACGGATCTGGGGACAGGAGAGGCTGAGCCGCCGGCACAGGAGGGACAGGCGAGTCACGGGAGGCGGTCAGGGTTTGGCTCTTCCCAGGGCTGTTGCTGGAAAGAGCGGCAGAAAGTGGGCGGGAGACAGAACCTGGGGGTGCCGTGACCCCACGAAGGCTGAGGGTTTTTTTTCCCCTTGTTTTCAAGGAACGTGTGTCTGGGGCCTGGGCCCTTTGAAAAGTCTGTAACTTCCCGGGGCGCCCGGGTGGCTCACTGGGCTGGATGACAGACTCTTAGACTCAGGTCATGATCCCGGGGTCGTGGGATGGAGCCCCACGTCAGGCCGCACACCTAGTGAGCAGTCAGCTTGGGACTTGCTCTCCCTCTGTCCCTCCCGCTGCTCCGTGGCTCTGTCTCTCTCAAGTAAATAAATCTTAAAATAAAACAAAAGCCTGTAACTTCCTGACAGCCAAGGGCCAGAGGAAGGCCCTCCCACACTCGGGCTCCGGGGTGGCTGCTGGATTGGGCTGGGGGCCGCGTGGGGGTGGGGGGAAGGACTTTCGGCCACACCCCTGCCCCCTGGGGAGAGTCCCCAACCTCGCCTGCACCCAGAGCTTCCACAAGACCCCAACCGAAGGGCACTGAGCTCCTGGGCAGGTGAATGCATCCAGGTATGGGAGGGGGTTGTGCCCCAAACTCCACCAGGAAGCAGCCCCTGCACCCGGGACCCCTTGTCCGGCAGCTCCTGACACAGTTTACAAGACACCGGCAGGTCGAGCGCTTTCTGGAATTCGGTGAGCTCTGCTAGCAATACATCACAAGTGAGGAGGGGGTGGGAACCCTGAGTGGGGGACCCAGGGGTCTGTGTGCATTTGGGCAGTGAGCCTCAGAATTGGATCGAGTCGTAGGACACCTGCGGACAAATGACTTGCTTGGGACAGAGACCCCACACGCCTGCTGTGCCAGGTGTCAGAAGGGCTGGGGACAGAAGGCATGTGCACGGGAGAACCAGCTCAAGACCCCCGTCTGGGCATCCCCGGCCTCATGTGACCCCTCCACCTGTGTCAGGGTCGCTGCTGGCTGGCAGAGATCAGCAGGTGGAACGTGTTCCACGTGAGATTAGGTTCTAGGGTTACGCCCACTTTATGGCTGTAAAGCAGGTTGTTCAGGCTGGACTTGAAGAACGTGAGGGATGAGAAGCCATGGCCTGGGCTCTTAGCCATACCACTAAACCCCTGCCCCACTGCCCCCAGTAGAGCAGGGGAGAACGAGGGCCTGGGGAGGGCCAGGCCGGAGGGCTGACTCCCCCAAGCCCCTTGGAGAGGGCTGGCTGGAGATGAAACCAGGGCACCTGTGGCTGGGGGCAGATCTCAGAGCTGAGCTCCTCCAACACCCCAGCCCCCTGTGGCCCCTGGGCCCCACCCCGATGTTCCTAGAAAGCAGCCCTGTGGAGCCCCCAACACACTCTGAGACTCATGGCTTGGCAAAAATAATTTAATAATCCATTTGGACACTGGGGTCTCCATGCCCACCCACCCAGCCAGTCCCAGGCTGGAGAGCCAGAGGCCCCAGGAACAGCCCTTGGCAGCCCCAGCCCCTGCCCAGGACCGAGGGGGGCAGGTTTGCCCGCAGCGCCTTTCCGGGCACCCCTAGTTCCTCCAGAAGCTGGGCCAAGGCAACCCCGCTCCCCTGAGCACAGCCCTGGCCTGCTCAGACCCCCAAGCCCACCCCTGTGACACGAAACCCGGGAGCTACAGCCCCGCGCCATGCCACTGGGTAGGGGTCACAGGACACCTCAGCCTGGCCCTGGGGGAGGCAAGATGCAAAAGCGGCCAGATCGGGCCAAGCGGTCAGCCCCGCGAGGTCAGATCCCACCCGCACGCTCGGTGTATGGGCAGCTTGTGCGCTGGGCCCCGCCGGGGAGGCCGCGGGCGGCTCTAGGAGGGGGCGTGCAGCTGCTCCAGCCCGTCGGCGTACTGGAAGGCCGGCCCCGTCTCGTACTCGTACATGTCCAGGGCCACCTCGCAGCTCTCCCGCACCACGCGCTCGGGGTCGGCCGCGTGGGCCCGCAGGGCGGCCAGGCAGGCGGGCCGGGCGATGGCTCCCAGGGCCTCCGCGCACTCGTGCCGCACCATGGGGCTCTCGGCCCGCTGGGCCAGGGTGGCTGCCAGCTGGGGCACGGCCGCCTCGTGCTGCAGCTGGCCCAGGACGTAGCCGATCTCGTGGCGGAAGAGGGCACTGCCACAGCGCAAGCCTGCAGGCGGGAGGGCGACTGGTCACTGGCTGGGCGGTGCCATCGGGGCAGGCGGGGGACCAGGAGAGGTGGAAAGGGGGCTCCTTGTTTCAAGGACAGCCGCCCCAGCCCCAGTGGTCAGCACTGCTCAGAGGGAGGGGTCTGCAGCCGGCGGGGGGGGGGGGGGAGCACTGGGGGGGCCCTGGGGTCACAGCTCTGCCCTCCCAAAGGCCAGACAGGGCAGGTGTGGCCCTCCTGCACCCAGGGTCCCCTTCCAGCTGCTCCCGCCCCTCCGCAGTGATTAATAAGGGACAGTCACGGGCACCTGGCCCCCACTCCACACACAGGTTGGGCTTTATACTGACGGCGCAACCACAGCCGGGAGAGGTGCGGTGACCGCCCAGGACCAGAGGCCCCCAAGGCCAAGCCAGGACTCAAGGCCACCCAGCCCTGTGCTCCTGCCCGGCATCGCCTGGGACCCCCACCCTGTGGCCCAGGTCCCAGTGATGGCCAGACAGGAAGTGCCGGAGGGCAGCAGGGACCACAGGCCGCTGGGGGAGAGGCCTGCAGAGAGCGCCCTGGGGGCCGGGGCGGGAGTGACTCAAGTCACAGAGCCACACTCCCAGGGACCGGATCCCAGCTCTGCGGCTGCCAACCGCTGTCCGCTCAGGCAACTCTCTCTGCCTTTCTGGCCTCGACTTCCCCACGGGAAGTGGGGGCAAGTGTGCCCGCCCGCCTTCGGGAAAGCCCGTGGGGGAGTCCGGGCACCGGGGCAGGACGCACGTTCCCTGGTCACTCTGTTCCTCCATTTCCGGGTGCGGCCACGGAGCCTGAGCGAGGCGCACCGACCGTGACCCCGACCCCCACTCACCCTCCGCCAGCGCCAAGGCCGCCTCTTCGCCGCCCGCATCGCGCAGGGCGAACATGGCTCGGTAGCGGTCGAAGAGCGGCTGGGCTTCGTCCAGGAGCACCTCCCGCAGCCGCCCCACGTCCCGCTCCTCGGCTGGAGGGGCCGGGTCCACGGACAGGTAGGGCCCTGCCGCCACCACCGGCTCCCTGCTGTGCTCCTGCAGCCACTCCAGCCGCCTGACGGCCAGCTGGCACGTCTCTGCCACCTGCGGGGACAGGGCGCATGGGCGGCCACTGAGGACCTGACAGTGGACACGATGGACCCCCTGCCCTACCCCCTGGGGCTCGAGGGACTCGGAGCTAACCAGTCATGCTAGGTGGAAACAGCCAGGCGGAGGCTTGAGTGGTTAAGGAGGGAGGGGGAAGAGGAAGGAGGAGGAAAAGGAGGAAGGAGAGGGGAGGAGGGAGAGGGAGGAGGAGTGCCCGGAGGGGCTGGGGATGAGGGGGCACAGGCGCCAGAGCTCATGCGGAGGGGTGACAGTGCGGAGCCCTCCCTCACGCAGGGCTTGGAGCTGCAGCAAGAAGTTGGGGTTCCATCCTAAAGGTCAATGTCACAAGCACAGGAGAGCTTTCGCCACAAGAGGTTAGGAGACCTAGCTCTGCCTTGACCTCCAGCTGCCGAGAGGGGCTGGGGCGGAGCTTCCGGAGGTGAGAAGCAGCAGGTGAGAAACACACGTCCATGTGGACACCTGCAGGGGCTCCGGTGGCCAAAGTGGAAGCGGCCCACGTGTCCAGGGACAGAGGAGTGGATAAATACAGCATGTCCCCCACGTGCAGGCACGTCCCCTGGTCATGGACAGGAGCAAGGAGCCCACATGCACCACCCCAGGGATGGACCCTAAGCCCACGACGCTCAGGGAGGGAACCAGAGACAGGAGGCCCCATGGGGTGTGAGTCCACGTGTGTGACACGTCCAGGACGGGCTTGTCCATGCATGGGGAGGGGCTCGTGGGGGCCGAGGGCTGACTACTGATGAGGCGGGGCTCCTTCTGGGATGATGGAATGTTCTGGAATTAGGAGAATGTCGCACCCATCTGTGGATGCTCTAGAAACCCCTGAAGTGTTGAACCCTGTGGTATGTGACTAACATCTCAATAAAGCTGTTCCCTGAAGAACGGAGACAGGCAGGTGCTGGGAGAGCCTGGAGGAGGTCAGGCGGCCTGGGGCGGGTGGGCTCCAGGGGATCCTGGCGCAAGGGCTGGACGGGGCTGGAGGGGACAGGCTGGGTGGGAGGGGAGAGGTGAGGCGGGTCAGCCAGGCGGGGTTTAGTGGGGGAGTCAGTCGGGTTTTGCCGACGGGGCAGCACCCAGACACAGGGGACGCTGGCCCAGGCTGGGGGGCGGGGAGGGGGTCAGGCCACGGTACCTCGATGACGGGGTCAGTGCAGTACTGCTTCAGGATGTCCAGAACTTCCGGGTTCCCGATGGCCCCCAGGGCCTCCCCTGGAAGAACCGCGCAGAAGGCTCAGTGTGGTTAGGGAACACCACGGACACCGGGCGGGGGGCGCCCACCTGCACCACCCCCTCCTGTGCTCTGCTCCCCCCGCAGCTCATGGTCTGGATGGGGACACATCACAACGTGGGGCCCTCGGTGAGCACGGAGCTTCCCAGGGCACCCGGATGAGTAGAGCCCATCGGGGTGAGCCCCAGAGGAGGAGGTTTTCTGCCACGATGTGAGGGAGGAGGGTCAGCAGAGGAAGGCAGGGCCTGATGGAGGGGCCTAGGCTGCCCCAGGCCACACAGGCGCTGAGCGGGCAGACCGCAGCTGGCACGCACTCGCTCCCCACTCAACCACTCCTCTGCCTCGCAGGCTGGCAGGGTACGGTGCTGCCCACCATCAACAACATCCTAATGGAAGGGAGTCCGGGCCAGGACCTGCCCCTGCCCTCCTCCCTCTCTCGCGGTCACTCACTCCGCTCCAGCCAGAGGGGCTTCCTTGCCACTCCTCCAAGGAGCTCGCAGGGAACTGCCCCAGGACCTTTGCACGGGCTGCATCCTCTGCCTGAAGTACCTTCCTCCAGGTAACTGCCTTCACCCACATCTCTGTCCACTGATTACAAAAGGCAACACCTCTGGCACCCTCGTCCTACGCCCTGCCTCGTTTCTCCTCAACATTTACGCGTTCCCACCATCTCAGTAGGCGTTCAGTAGGCGTTCTGTGATCACACAACGCTCAAAATAGCAGAACTTCCGGAGAGGTGAGGTTAGGGAGAACGTTCTCCGTAAGGAGAGCTCTGACAAAACCAGTGACTGGCACGCTCAGAGTTACTGGGGCAGCCTGGGGTGAGGGCGGCTCGTGGGGCTGGACATCGGGGAACATGAGACACAGAGCAGGATGGACACCAGCTTCCCCTCCCAGCGGGGAGGTGGTGGTGAGAGGCACAGCCTCAGCAGCCCGGGCTGGCCACGGGTTTTACGCATTTCTCCTTTCCGGTGTCCCTCGAGATAACAGGGCCTGGTACACGGCAGGTGCTCAGTAAACACTGGCCCAGCACATTACACGAACGAACGGAAGAGGAGACGTCAGGGGTTGGCGAGCTCGCCGCCTGGTTTTGTGTGAACAAGAATGGTTTTTAGTTTTCACATGTCTTTTTTTTTTTTTTTTTAGAGGCCCCTGGCCGGCTCCATCAGTAGAGCGCATGACTCTGGATCTCGGGGTTGAAAGGTTTGAGCCCACACTGGGTACGGAGATAACTTAAAAATTGAGTCTTTGACGACGCCTGGATGGCTCAGCGGTTGAGCGTCTGCCTTTGGCTCGGGTTGTGACTCTGGGGTCCTGGGATCAAGTCCCACATCGGGCGCCCCGCAGGGAGCCTGCTTGTCCCTCTGCCTGTGTCTCTGCCTCTGTCTCTCGTGAATAAATAATAAAATCTTTTAAAAAGATAGTCTTTTAAAAAACAATTAACATTATTATTTTTAAATCAAAGGGTGACGTTTCCCGACGTGTGAAACTCAGGTGGACTCCCAATCTGAACACCCTCAAGGGGCCCGGGCCCGGGCCACGCCTCTCGAGCACAAGGACAGGCGGAGTCCGGGCCCACGAGGCTGCCGGGCCCACGGGGCTGACCGTTCGACGGCCTGCCCTGTACAGATGAGGCCTGCCCGGGGTCGCGCGGGGAGGAGGCCGAGGAGGGGTGACGGCGGGGTGGAGGGCCGGCGCCCTGGCCACTCACCCGCCTCGTGGCGCACCATGGGCTCCTGGCGGGCGTCACGCAGCACGTCCACCAGCACCGGGATGGCCCGGGAGTCCTGCATCTGGCCCAGGCAGTAGGCCAGCTCGTGCTTGAGCAGGGCGGAGTCGTCGCCGAAGGCCCGGCTGATCCAGGCGATGGCCCCGGGGCCGCCGAGGCCGCGCAGCGTGAAGAGCGCCCGGAAGCGGGCCTGCAGGGGCTGCCGGGCGTCCACCAGCGTCCGCCCAATCGCCTCCACCTCCTGCTCCGTCACCATGATGCCGCCCGCTGTCGTCGGGCCCACCTGGGCTGAAACGGGGCGGGGCGGGGGGGGGGGGCTCCTGGGCACGAGGACCTACAGGTGGAAAACCCAGAGCCCAGGTGAGAGGCGCTTCTCATCCATCCGGGGATTAGTTCCCTGAAGTATCAGGACCTGGGGGGTGTGGGGGGTCCTCCTACCTGCTCCCCTGCCGGGCATGGGGGGGAAGGCCAGGGTCGGCCCCGTGTACCCGCAGGGTCATCTACGTTACCTGCCCTCCCTGACCTCTCGCCTGTACATCAGCAGTGACTTCTGCTGGTCCCCTCCGCACGGAAGCCAGAGGGGCCGACCGGTCCCCGGGGACCCCCACTGTGCGTGCGGCCCTCCCACACTGAGTAGCCTCCATCGAGCAGTGTGAGCAGCAGGATGTGGAAGGAACAACACCAAGGGCAGGTCCTAAGAGATGCCGGGGCTTCCTCCTCACCGCTCCGGGACTACGAGGAGGCTCCCCCGGCCCTAGAGCGGCCCACTGGCCGGGGAACTGAGGCCTCCGGGCCGCTGCCAGGGAGCGCGGGAGGCCGGCAGCAGCTCCCGCAGCCCCTGCGCCTTCGGCCGAAGCCACCACCCACCGCCGCTGGCCCAAACGCCACCTCACGGCGGCTCTGAGCCGGAGGCACCAGATCCCGGTCGGGGCGGCCGGGAGAGCATGTGCCGCTGCTCAAAGCTGCCAAGCGTGGGGCTGTCCGTTCCATGACGGGTAACTGGGCTGCGGGTGCTCCCGGCGTGCTCACTGGGCCCTTGCACAATCCTTCCATGGCCCCTCGTTCTTCCAAACTCCTTCACGATCCCAAAGGCCCCGCGTGACTTGCCCAACCCCTGCCAGCGCTCCCCTCCTCCTCCCCATCCTCCACCCCTTGCACACTCTGTTCCAGCCACACAGGCCTCCTGGCTGTTCCTCCAACACACCTGGCCCGGTCCTGCCCCAGGACCTTTGCATGGGCTCTTCTCCTCCCCAGGAACGTTCTTCCCCAAATGCCCCCCATGGCCACCCTCTCACTTCCTTGGGTCTCAAATGTCACCTCCTCACGGAAGCCCTCCCTGATCACACTCTTCACTGTTACTCTCTTCCCTTGTTCTACTTTTCTTCCGAGCACTTACCACCACGAGATCTCACACAGGATGGTTATCAGTTTAGCTACCTATGGTTGGTCTTACCCCTCACCAGAACCCTGAAGGCAGGGACCGAGCCTATGCTAATCACCACTGGACTCCCAGCACTCGGTAGGCCCTCGATAAAAACACCAGCCCTACCAGCAACAGCAGCTGATATTTACTGAGACCTGCTATGTGCCAGGCACCTCTTCGAGGCCCCTCACACTCATGAACTCATCTACCTGTCCCCATAACCTATGAGAGCGGTGCTAGGCTCGTCGCCCTTTCACAGGTGAGAAAGCAGACACACAGGGAGCTTAATAACTTGCTCAGGAATAGTGTTGAGACTATAAATCCGGGTAGCTGGGCTCTAGAGTCACTCTAAACCACAGATGCCGTGTCGAGTGGGTGGACTGCGATGGAATGACACAGCCGGGCTGGGAGGAGGGGCTCCACCTCTGTCCTCCAGACCAATGAAGACCTGGTCGACGCTTCATAAAGCGAGCAGTGGCACGTCGCAGCCTCTGGCTCCCGGCAGCGTCAGCACGGCTGACTGGGCTTGATGAGGGGGGTACAGCTGCCCGAGCGCGGGTGACCATCAGAGGAGGGGACACCTTGAAAGAGGGACCAGCAGAAGCCACAGAAGCCAAGGGCGCCTGGGTGGCTCAGCTGGTTGAGCGTCTGCCTTCAGCTCAGGTCATGATCCCAGGGTCCTGGGATGGAGCCCCGCATCGCACTGGGCTCGCCGCTCAGCGGGCAGTCTGCTTCTCCCTCCCCTCTGACACCCTCCCCCTGCTCTGCTCTTTCTCTTTCTCAAATGAATAAATTTTTAAAAAAAATCTAAAAACAAAAAGAAAAAGAAACCAGAGAAGCCAGGAGTGAGCGAGCTGCCAAGGCATCAGGGGCCATGAGACTGGTGTGGGGGTCACACAGCAAGCCAAGGGCAAACAGGACCCAAGACTCCTGACTCCCAGCTGTGCGGAGGTTACCCTGAGGCACGTGGAAAAGGCCCTTCATCGCCCACACATCCCCCGGAGTCCTTAGATACCCAGGAATGAGGGGGAATGTGGCCAACAAGGCAGCTCCAGCTGTGGGAGAGGAGGGGGAGGCGGAAATACACCGCAGGGCTCTAGGGCAAGGCCTGAACTGCGGCAAAAGTCTCTACATTTGGAATAAAGACTAGTAACAGCTCACAAGTCAGGTTTCCTTCCAGGCTCTGTTCAGATATTGAGTTATGCAGGCAGGAAGGAACTCTCGGAGCACCCGAGGTTAGCGACGCAAACCCTCCCTGCTCTGCACTCCTCACCTGCCGGGGCTTCAGGGTCCCCCACAGCACCTAACGGCACCTGGTGTCCAGTGTGCATCACAGATCAGGTTTTTACCAGACAACTTAGTGCCCCGAAGACAGGACTTCATATCATACATATACATACCTGCACACTTGTTCACGTAAATAAAAATAAATCTGTATCGCGGGGTGGGCACCTGGGTGGCTCAGGGGCTGAGCATCTGCCTTCAGCCCAGGGCGTGACCCCCGGGGGTCCTGGGATCAAGTCCTGCATGGGGCTCCCTGCATGGAGCCTGCTTCTCCCTCTGCCCGTGTCTCTGCCTCTCTCTCTCTGTGTCTCATGAGTAAATAAAATCCTAAAAAAAAATCTTAAAAAAGGGGATCCCTGGTTGGCGCAGCGGTTTGGAGCCTGCCTTTGGCCCAGGGCCTGATCCTGGAGACCCGGGATCGAATCCCACATCGGGCTCCCGGTGCATGGAGCCTGCTTCTCCCTCTGCCTGTGTCTCTGCCTCTCTCTCTCTCTCTCTGTGTGACTATCATAAAAAAAAAAAAAATCTTAAAAAAGGAGGAGGAGGAGCGCTCACGGAGCGCCTCGTACAACTGCTGGCACCTAGTACGCGGCATCAAATGCTCCCGTGGGGAGCCCCGAACCCACCTCCCTGGGCTCAGGAGGGCACACCTCCTGGAAGCCCACAATTCAAGCCTTCGCCCGTTTTCCAGGGGGAGGCCGCGCGAGGGGGTGGGCGTGGGGTGCAGGGGAGCAGCCCCCACCCAAGCCGAATCTGGGGATCCGCTGGCCCCTGTGAAAGCCTCTTGATGGGTGGTCAGCAATGGAGAGAGGAGACCAGGGTCCTCGGCCTCCCGTCCCCAGCCGTGACTCATCTATTTTTAAGTTTTTTTTTTTTTTTTTTTTTACTTATTCATGATAGACATAGAGAGAGGGAGAGGCAGAGACACAGGCAGAGGGAGAGGCAGGCTCCATGCAGGGAGCCCGACGCGGGACTCGATCCCGTGACCCCGGGGTCACGCCCTGGGCCAAAGGCAGGCGCCGAACCGCTGAGCCCCCCAGGGATCCCCCCACCCCCGAGACTCACCCAAACCAAGAATTCCCAACCACATGTCTGGTAACCGACGGCCCCCCAGAAAGGGGTCGTCCCAATACGGGATCCCTCCCCCTGGAGGACACCCCGAGGAACCGGATGCTTCAAGACCCGTCTACGCGGATCCCCAAGTACCGGGTGCTTCACTCCGTTGGTTCTCCCGGGAACTCGAGAAACGGGTGGCCCGGTAAGCAACACGCGCCGCCGCCAGCGAAGAGACCCCCGGCGACAGGGTCCTCAGAACCCATCAGGAGGCCCTCGACCCCCCCCCCACCCCCACCCCCACGCCACGAATCCTAGAGACGGGACCTCCCCCCGAGGCGTCCTCCCCGTGCCAGCCCGCCAGGCCCGGGCCACGCACCGCGCTCCCTGCCGCCGAGACGCCCAAACGAGCTCCCGGAAGTCGAGGTCTCCGAGCTCACCCGCCCCCTCCGCGGCCACCAGCGTCTCACCAACCGCGACGCTCGCGGCACTCTCTGGGGGCCGCCATCTTCCCGCCCACGTGACCGGGCCGGACGGTACCAACGCAGCAGCGGGGGGGGAGTTCCCGTCAAAGCCTCCGCGGCACGAGACCAGTCTGGAAGCCTGAGTCTGCATCGGTGCCATAGCCCACACTGCCACACCAGAGGAGTCTAAAGGCATCCCTCAGGGGAGGGAAGGGCAACGCCCACTGTTTCCGTGGAAGACATGCTCTCCGGCTCCCCACCCACTTCGGTGGGTGGAAATGGTTTGTGCCGATTCAGCGACGCGGGGCCGGCTAGTGACGGAGCATGCGCCGCGTTCCTGGGCGTGCCCAAAGCCTGGGGGCGTGGCCAAGGCCTGGGGCGTGGCCAATGGCTTCAAGGGGGCGTGGCCAATGGCTGCAGGTGGCCGGACTCGAGCTCTGGGCAGGCGGGGGCGGGGCGCATCTCGTGCTTTTTTTCGGACCCGAGCGAGTCCGAGTTCGTCGTTTACTTAACAAATAGTGGGGGGCGAGGGCTAGACAGCTTGGTGGCCTGGGGCAGACAGACGGGAAATAAGCGAGTGAAATGCACGCGAGGCGGTGACCCAGGTTAAGGAGTGTAGGGCGCGGGCGGGGCGCGTGGTCCCGGGGGGCGGGGCCGGAGCCCGCGGCAGGTGCGGGAAGGAGCGCCCCGGCCTGGGACCGACTTGGCTTTACTCCGCCGCACTGAGAAGCGCGGCGGGTTCTAATCAGGGCAACACGTGCGAAAAGTGTTTCCACTTTGCAATGTGGGAAAGAAGCATGGGTGGCCACGTTATTATGTGTAACGGCGAGGAAAAAATGATTTGGGAAAAAACATCATCGCTCACCTGGGCCACCACAGCCCCTCCCCACCTGTCTTCCTGGCCCCCGAGGTCTGTCCTCTCCGCAGTGGCCACCAGAGGCCACCTGTGGGCACCAGCTCCGGCCCTCCTCTGCCCACAGCCCTCCAGGGCTCCCACCTCCCCCAGGGTAAAAGCTCAAGTTCTCCCCTGACCCCCAAGGCCCCGCATGACCTGCACCGGGCCCGTCCCTACCCTTCCCTCCTCCCTGTCACCCCGTTGCTCACTCTGCTCCAGCCACACGGGGCCTCCTTGCTTTTTTCCAACAGGCCAGACCCAGTCCTTCCTCCGGGCCTTTGCATGTGCTCTGCCCTCTGCCTGGACCGCTCTTCCCCCTGGTACTCCCCTGCCTGGTTCCCTTCCTCCCCTGGGTCTCTGCTCCCGTGCATCTCCAGAGGGCAGTGGCTATCCTATTTTAAGCTTTAACTCTCCCTCCTAGTAGTCCCAACCCCTTAGACCGTGGTACCTCCGCCCCAATGCCACTTTTTCTTTTTAGGTTTTATTTACGTTAGAAAAAGGGCGTGCTTGCTCACGTGCACTCACATGCATGTGCATGAGGGAGAGAGGGGCAGGAGGAGAGAAGTGGACTCCCCACTGAGCATGGAACCCAACTTCCAGCCCCACCCTACGACCCACGATCATGACCTGAGCCGAAATTAAGAGTCAGTTGCTCGGGATCCCTGGGTGGCGCAGCGGTTTGGCGCCTGCCTTTGGCCCAGGGCGCGATCTGGAGATTCCGGATCGAATCCCACGTCAGGCTCCCGGTGCATGGAGCCTGCTTCTCTCTCTGCCTCTCTCTCTCTCTCTCTCTCTGTGTGTGTATGTGACTATCATAAAATAAATAAAAATTAAAAAAAAAAAAAGAGTCAGTTGCTCAACCGACTGAACCACCCCAAATACCGCTCTTTGCTTCCTAACCCAAAACGTCACTTCCTCTAGGGTTGTGTTCTTCTCAGAGTCCATCCTCCTATTTTGAGTGTCAGCTCAGGGATTTTCCCAGGAGAGGGAACAGCTCGAGCAAAGGCCCTGAGGTGGGGATGGATGTGCAGAGTGCCAGCTGGGCTGGCTGGAGCTGAATGAGGGGCGGTGGGGGGGCCCACTGGGCGGAAGTGATTTGCGCTGTGATTCATCCTGGCAGATGGTGGCCTTGGAGGATTCCCAATCCTCTTACCCAAAGCCCCTAAATACTTCCGCCACGAGGGTCACCTCCGGGCCTCTCCTGCTCCCGGTGGCCGTCATGCCGGGGCTGGCGGTCGAGGAGGGGATGGAGGGCTGGAGCCCAACCCCGCCGCTGTATGAGGAGTACCGCCCGCCGCCTCTCGATGCCATCCGCCTGCCCAGGTACGCGCTGTACCTGCTGCTGGCAGCGCTCCTGGTGGTGGCTGTGGCCTATGCCATCGTTGGACACCTCATCAAGGACCTCGCCCACGACCTGGCCGGTGAGCTGCTCCCCTCAACTGTGGGCCCTGCTTGGGGTGGCACTGGGCCACTTGGGGGTGGTGGTGGTGGTGGTGATGTGAGGGCCCGTCCTGGCCAGGGAGGGGACTGAGGGTGGGTGAGGCCCTGGGAGGCTCCTCATCCACATCCTCCTGCAGACTGGGCCTTTGGCCCGAAGCCGGACCAGGAGGACGCCCCCCGGGAGCTGCGCTCGAGCCTGGAGGGTGAGGATCTGGAGGAGCTGGACCTGCAGCTGGCCCTGGCCTGGCGGGGTGATGAGGACCTTGGCAGGGCTGGTGACGCAGCCCCTGCAGAAGCCCCCGCCCAGGCTCCCCGCCGCCCTTCCATCGCCTTCAAGGACCCACCCGGTCGGAGCTCCTTCTGGAGGCTGGCCTGAGCCGGGCCCTGCCCTCTGGCCCCGGGCCCTGGCTCTGAACCCCTTTGGCAGCTGTATAGACGACTCGTGCACACTGGACCCCTTGCTCCACTGAGTTGCCCCATCGTGGCGGAGGACATTCTGTTTCTTGGCTGACAGATTCCCGTGGTTGGTCACCGGTGCTTTCCGCACTCCTTTCCCCGGTGGCCCCCGGAGCCAACGTCCACCACCAAGAAGATGTTTTATTTTTTAAAGATTTTATTTATTTATTCATGAGAGACAGAGAGAGAGAGAAAGAGGCAGAGACACAGGCAGAGGGAGAAGCAGGCTCCGTGCAGGGAGCCCGACGTGGGACTCGACCCCGGGACTCCAGGATCGCACCCCGGGCTGAAGGTGGCACTAAACCACTGAGCCACCCGGGCTGCCCCAAGAAGATGTCTTAAAATAGTAACCAGGTGCTGGCCGTTGCCTGGTACTTAGTGTGTGCCTGCTAGCGTGCTCGGGAGCCTTCTCCTCGAATTATTTCATTGGATGCTCACAGGCCAACTCCCCCCGACCCCCCGTAACAGATGGGAACATGGAGGCACAACGCCCAGAAATGATGTGCTTGGAGCTCAGAGAACTTTTTGCAGAAAGAGGCCAGTTGGGTGACCTGCCTTGGAAAAAGCAGGAGCCCCCAGGCTGGGTTCTGCTCCTGCTCTTAAGCCCGAATCTGCTGCACCCCCACCTCCCTGGCTCCTTCCCAGCTCTGTGGCCCCTGCAGGATCCACCGCCTCTGGGGGTCCTGACTTCCCAACTAACCCAGGAGCCCCCGGAGGGCACTGCATGAGGCTTCCCCCTCCCTTCCAAGCTTTGCAAGGACAGGCACACAGTAGGAGTGTCACAGGCATGGCCCGGTGGCTGACGTGGGCTCGCGCCGGCCAGGGCCTGAGCACCTTCGCTCTCCTCAGGAGGCAGGAGGCCCCGGGTATGCACAGGTGCCCCATAAAGGTGTGTGCAGTGACGCTGGCATCCCCCCAACCCCTGAGGGCCCTACAGAGGCCCCCCCAGTCTGGGCTTCCTGCCACGTGCCTGGGCCGTGGCTGCCCAGTGGCAGCAGGGGTGGCACGGACGCTCCTTCTCCTGGGCAGGGCCCCCTATCTAATCAGCCAGGGACCAAGGTTGATGGACAGGAGAGCCCGGAGCCTGAGTCACCCGCTGCTGCGCATCCCGTTCTCTGGCCGCAAGGGCGGGGCTGGGCCCCGAGATGGGCGGCGGGCACGTGGCCCATCACCTCTCGCCCGTGTGCTCATCCCATACTGGCTGTGGGCCCGCGGGGGTCCGGGAGCCAGGACGTGGAAGTTGAAGCCGGGGGTGAGGGAGATCTGGGTTCGGGTCCCAGCTCCAGCTGTTTCTGGGTGACCTCCATGTCCCAGCCTCCTTGGGCTTCTCTGCGGAAGGGAGCGGGAGCCCTGCGTGCGGTGTCCGGAGAGGGAGCCCACGATGCCTGGAAGCCCTGACCCGGCCGTGTCAGCCTGGCCGCTGCGGCGCGGGGCCTGGGGACCTGGAGGCGGGGGCCTGGGGCAGGGCACAGGGCGAGGGCTGGACTCCCCGCGTTAATTGTTATACCAGGTCCAGAGTCTGAGCTGCGGGTCCGCCCCTAGGCCCGCCCGCCTGCATATCAGGGCCTGGGCACGGCCTCACCCAGCCGCCCCTGACTGTGCGCGCCGCTGGCTCTTCCACGACCATGGGGACCCTGGAGGCCCTTCTCCTGCTCAGCGCCCTGCTCCTGTCACCTGCAGAGGCCCAGCAGGGTAGGGCGCCCCACCCGGGCTGGGGGGCGGGGTGCACGGTGCAGTGGTCGGGAGGGGTCATGGCAGGGGCTCCTTCGAAGGCTCAACATCTCCCCATTTTTCATGGTGAGGAACCCCTCTGAGAAGAGTAGGTGGGCAGAGGAGGAATGGGGCCGGGCCCCTCTTGGAGCCCCCCAGCCCCCACGCTCCCCCGGGGCCTCCCTGTTCATCCCTGGGGACAGCCCCCAGGCCCCAGCCCCCTCCCTTCTCTAGAACTGGTGTCTGACCAGCCCTTTCTGAGATCCCACCTGCTCCAGCATCCCCTCCCCCCCCCCCCCCCCCCCCCCGACCCTTGCCGTCTCCCCTTTCGGGGGCGTGCCCCGCTCCCCGCCATCTCTGACTCCCACCTGCCCCGCCTTCGGACAGCCACGCAGTACCACCTGAAGCCCTGGCTGGTGGGCCTGGCTGCCGTCGTGGGATTCCTGTTCATCGTCTTCGTCCTCATGCTGGCCAACCGCGTCTGGTGCTCCAAAGTGAGGTGGGAGCCCCTCTCCCCACGCCCCGCCCCGCACCGCTGTCCCTGTCCTCCTCTCCCCCAGAGTGCTGGGCACCCCTCCCGCCTGCTGCCTCTCTCTGGCCGCTTCCCCTGTCTCCCGTCTCCCTGCTCCTGCTCACACCCCCCGCGTCATGGCCCCCCCATGCGGCCGTGCACCTTGCTCTGTGCAGCCGTGGGACGCCGTGGAGGCGACGACTCGCCCGTCACCCGCCCTCACCCTCTGTCTCTGTCTCTCTCTCTCTCTCTCCTACAGAGCCCAGGACGAGGAGGACACCGGGTTCAGAATGCGGCCCAACCCCTATCAGGACGTGGGCGTGAGGTACTACTGCCTGTGAGCGTGCGTGGCTGGTGCGGGGTCGGGGGGTTTGTGTGAGCCCCTCTGGGGGTGGGGAGCGCCGAGTGTGCACCAGTGACCTCTTTCTACTCTTGAACACGTCAAGCACATTCCAGCCGGGACCTTTGCACTTAGTCTTCTCTCTGACTGGGACGCTCTTTCCTGTATCTTTGAGCTGCCTCGTCCTCCAGTCGCTGCTCAGATAGTTCCTCCTCCCGGAAGCCCACCCCGGCCACCAGGCCTCCGACACGCTGCGTCCCACAGCTCTGCGTTCTTTGCCCTGCCCGGCAGCCGAAATTATCTTAGCCATTTACCGCTCTGTCGTCGCTGGACGGTGGCTCCCAGTAGATGGAAGGAGCTGAGCTCTGGCCCGGCTGTGTCCCCGGGGGGCCTGGCGCACAGTGGGCACTGAGCAGATCCCTGTTGAACGACACTGTGCTGTGGGGTCGTGTAGGTGTCTGCACACGAGCATGGGTACTGGCGCGGGTGACTCTGCTGTGGTCCTGACTGCTTGAGACGAGATTCTGGGGGAGGCTCAGGGATGTGGCAGGGGTGGGGGCTCTTCCAGGGCAGTGTCCCCACTTGGCCAAAGTTGGGAGGCGAGAGTAGGAGATAGGAGGAGGCCAGCCTGACTGGAACATTCTCAGTCGAGCTCGAGACGTATGTGAGGGAGAGAGCTGTAGGCCTCATTGTTTGCTTTGTCTGAGACTCAGTGCTGCTCCAGCAAAGTGTGATTCCCGCTCCCAGGGTGTGCTGGAGGTTCTCGAACCCACCTGAGCTCCTGTGTTGGTAGTTTTCTCCTTGTTCATTCCTCCATGCATCCCCCATCCCCCATCCTCCTACCTCCCATCCATCCATCCACCCATCTACCCATCCATCCCCCATCCATCCTCCATCCATCCATCCACCCACCCATCCATCCACCTCCCTATTCCCCTACTCATCCATCCTCCAATCCATCCATCTGTCCGTCCATCCGTCCATCCACCCACCCATCCACCCAGCCATCCATCCAACCATTCAACCATCCATCCATCCATCCCCCCACATCCATCTATCCACCCATCTACACCCATCCACCCACCGACCCATCCCCCCATCCATCCCCGGATCCATCCATCCATCCATCCATTCTCCTACCCACACTTCCCTTTCCAACCATCCATCATTCATCCATTGGACTCCCTACCCAGTAAGCCATTGATCCATTCATCCATCCACATGTCTACACTGCCATCTCTCCACCCATTTATACTCTCATCCATTGATGTGTCATGCTCTTCTTTGGCCTAGTCATTCACTCATCTTCCTATTCTTTTTTTTTAAGGTTTTGTTTATTTATTTGTTTGTTTGTTTATGAGAGACACACAGAGAGAGGCAGAGACAGAGGTAGAGAGAGAAGCAGGCTCCATGAAGGGAGCCCGGTGTGGAACTCGATCCCAGGACCTCAGGATCATGACCCAAGCCGAAGGCAGACACTTAACCACTGAACCACCCGGGCGTCCTTCATCTTCCTATTTGCTTATTCATCTCTCCATGCAGCTATCCATTCACCTAACCACTTACCTGCCCATCACCTATCGATCCACCCACCCACCCACCCACCTCTCCATCTATCCATTCATCCATTCATTCCCCTAACCTACCCATCTATCTACTCACCCACCCATCCACCCACCCACCCATTTCTCCCACTCATCAGCCCAGTGATCTCTCCACCCATCTTCACTCCTACCCATCCATCCATTGACCCATCAGTCTTTCCTTTCTGTAATTAATCTACTCACCTATCACGCTGTCTGTTCATCCCTCCATGCAACCTTCCATTCACTTCTCTACTCATCTTCCTATTCATCCGTCCTCCCACGCGTCCATCCTTCCATACATCCACACAGCCATCCATTCTCCGTCCACCTGTCCATCCATGGGACAGTTGAGTCATACTTTCTGCCTTTGTGAAATGGAAATAGCAAGGTTTCCTCCCAAGGACTGTTTTGAGGATTCAACAAAGAAACTTTTTGTAAAACACCTGTCACAAGGCCTGGCACAGGCCCATGTCTGTCCAATGGGAGCGACTGTTTCTCATTGTGTCTGGGGCCTTTGTATCCCTACAGTGAAGAAGGCAAGAGGGAGAAGATAGAGGAGATAAAGGACATGAAGGGCAGGAAGGCTGAGAAAGAAGGAGAGAGGAACTTGGGGCTGGAGCTGGAGGAGCAAGAGGAGCCCAGAGTTGAAGGGAAAGTCACGAACACAGCCATGTGAAGACGCGACACCGCTTCCTCCAGGCAGCCACCCAGAGATGCCCCCTCCACACCGTGTAAGCGATGACCTGGACGTGAAGCCACCATAGTAACTCCATGCAGAGTGGAGAATACTGGCCCCCGAATGAAGAGGCCTGGGACTTGCCCTGCCCCTCGGGGCGGGGGGGCTCTCTGTGTGCTGCTTTGTGCACCCTCCTTCCCGATTTGTCTGCCTAGTGATTCCTCTCGCACTTGGAGCGCATTCTGGGTTATGGAGAAACCCCGAGCTCTCGCTGTGTCACGGCTCCCCCACTTCTACCCACGCCTGATTTCTCTTCCCTCTCCCTAGTATCTGTTGGCCAGAAGCTCCTCCGTCCTACTCAGCCTTGGGACCAACGTGGGGCAGGGGCTTCCTTTCGAAGACCTGCATTAAAGAATTAATAAGAATAAATAAAAAATTTAAAAAAGAATTAATAAGAGCCCTTCAGAAGAGCTCCTGTTGTCTCTTGGGACTCAGTTTCCCCCTGGGGGAGGCAGTGGTTGGGGCCGATGCCCGAGCAGGGATGGGAGGGCAGGCTGCCCAGTGCCCAGATGCCCCCGGCAATCTTGATCCTGCTGCGGAGCTCTGGACTTTGAGCCCCGTATCCTGGGAAATCCTTGCTACCCCACCCCTCGTCTGGGGCCACGTGACTGTTCCAGGGACCTGGGTCTGGGAGGCTGTGTCCCAGGGCTCTGTGCTCCCCTGGGAAGGGACGAGTGCTTTCTCCTCCCAGTTTCCAGCCTCCCCTTTCACCTCGCTTTCTCCGGGCCCTGGCCCTTGCCCTGAATGTTAACTATTTCTTAATAAGGACCCTGATAAAGGTCGGCATTCAGGCCCGGGGGGGGGGGGGGGGGGGGGGGGGGGAATGAGACCCAGAGGCAGGGAGCGGCTGTGCGGGACTTCCAGGATCCTCCGCCAGAGGGTGGAAAAAACATAAAGGAAATGAAGCTAATAAGCGCCCTCACGGATGCTCCCGGTGAGCGCCCTGGCGTCTGGTCAGTACACGGTTAGCCCCGTTTTCCAGCTGGAAACACTGAGGCCTGGCAGGAGAGACGTCACGGGCCGGTCTCGCCGGTGGCTGTTGGCAGAGCCCGCGTGGAAGCCCAGGCTGCCCGAACGCTGAGGGGGTTTGTAGGATGATCGGAGAGGGTCGGGGTGGGGGGTGTTCATTCCCGGCTGCGGTTCCTGGTGGCAAGAGCTGTGTCCCTCTGGGATGCCGTGTGCCCCCCCCCCGCCCCAGGGGGCGGTAACCCCTCATCTGCAACCTGAGGACCAGAGTTACGAGGCTTGAAACAGGTGCCAGGGCTTAAGAACCATTGCAGGGGGGATCCCTGGGTGGCGCAGCGGTTTAGTGCCTGCCTTTTAGCCCAGGACGTGATCCTGGAGACCCGGGATCGAATCCCACATCGGGCTCCCGGTGCACGGAGCCTGCTTCTCCCTCTGCCTGTGTCTCTGCCTCTCTCTCTCTGTGTGTGACTATCATAAAAAAATAAAAATTAAAAAAAAAAAAAAGAACCATTGTATGGCCCGGCGCATAGTAGGTGCTCAGGAAACGCGTTCCGCACCTTTCCTGGCCTCTCTCTCCTGTGGCTGTGGCTGTGGGGAGCGGAGGGCACAGGGCCTCAGGGGGACAGGGTGCTGGGACGCCTGGGCCTCTGGACCCCCTCCCTGGCACACCCGGGATCCAGGGAAGGGGGCCCCAACTCCTCACTTCCTGTAGGGTGCTGGCCACACCCTGCGCTGGGGTGTCCGGGGTGGCCACTTCCTCCTCTGATGGGGTGGCACCCCAGAACCTGCTGGAGGGACGTGAAGACAGACGGACAGGGATGGACCGATTCTGGACGACCACTGGCCGGGCCTCCCTTCTGGCAGCTCTGGTCCTGGGGCCGGTTTGGGCCCAACCCCGTAAGGCCTCGGGAGGGACAGGAGGGGGAAGGGAGCCCCCACCTGGTGGCCCAGCCGCTGACCCCGCCCCGCCTCGCCCGCAGTGGCCCAGAGGAAGCCGTGGCTGGTGGGGCTGGGGGCCCTGCTGGCCGCCCTCTTCCTCCTCTTCGTCCTCACCCTGCTCTACGCCATCTGGTGCAGCCAGTCCCGCGACAGGTGGGCACCCCCCACCCCCCGTCCTGCGTGAGCTCCCCCCGCCCCCCGCAGCACCACTGGTGCTCAGAATCCCTCCCCTCCCGTCTCCTCTCTGAGCCTCCACAGGCCAGGGGGTAATTCTTTGATTCAGAACCGCTGGGACCTCATGCAACACGCACCCCCCTTCCCCCGCCTTGCTACAAACTTGAAAAATGAGATGGCTTCCCTGAGACCCCAACCCTAAGACACGTCCCAGGGGGGATTCTGTGATGTCTTTATCACCTTCCCTGGGCCCTGAGACCCCAACCCTAAGACGAGTCCCGGGGGGGATCTGTGAGGTCTTTACCACTCCCCTGGGCCCCACGCATCTATCCATCCCTCTCGCACCCCCCCAAGTCCTCTGTGCGTAACAGTCCCGCTGTCTGTGGCTCTGTCCACCTTCCCACTACCCGTCCCCATGTCCGTCGAGGCGTCTGTCCACATCCGCTCGTTAACCTACCACCATCCATGGGTCCGTCGCCCCGTCCCCCTGCCCGTTCACTCACCCACAGTCCCGAGACCCAGGGAGTGGGCAGGCCAGGCGCCGGCCCTCCCGTCAGGTTCACACGGGGCAAGTGTCCTAACCTGTCTGGGCCTCAGGACCGCTTCTGTCGGGGTGGGGACAACGAGAGCGCGGGGCGCAGAGGTTCTGGGAGAATCGCACAAGCCTGGGCCCCGTAATTCCTTAATTAAGTGAGGTTTTCTGGATCTTTCTTGTCTCCACAGCCATAAGGAGGAGGAAGTGGGGCCCGTGAGAGAGGAGAAAGGAGAGGGCGACTGTGAGCTGGCCCTGGAGGAGAAGGAGGGGCCTCCAAGCCACGAAAGAGGGGCGAGCTCCTCTGAATGAAGGCTTCCCGCCTGCCGCCTCCAGGCAGGCCCCCAGGGACACCCCGTGCCCACTCTGCACTGACTAGTGCAGACCTGGTCCTGGGGCCAGCGAAATTATCCCATGTGGGGTTCAGATGAGGAGCCCTCGGGACCCGCCCCCCATCCCCCCTTTGCTTTTATTTCCCTGGGTGTTCATACACCTCCTTCCCAAGCACACCCTGCGCAGGCCCCGCTGAAGGGTAAGAGCCACGGTGGAGGGGGAACCCGTGCAAAGGCCCTGCGGTTGCGGCCCCAGAGCAGGTCCAGCCCCCCAGCCACCTTGCCTTTGTGGCTCCTGGGCCCGAGCTTTGAGCGGACTCAGCGGCACACATGGCCCTTTCCTGGGAGACTGCCCCCCCCCCCCCCCCCCCGCCGTGAGCCGAGTTTCCCCGTCACTGTCTGCAAGCTGCGCCAGTGGCGGGGGCGGGAGGAGACGGTCATCACGCCCCGTCCTGTGCTGCCCTCCCGCTGGTCCCCTCGGGAGGGCTGAACCCCCGGTGCCTCCTTGCCGTGTGGCCCTAAGCACGTACCTTAAGTACCTTAACGTCTGTGCCTGTGTCCCGTCCTGTCAGAGGGGGAGGAGGGGGAGGAAGATAACTTGATCCTTAGGTTGTCATGAGGATTCGATGAAATAACGTCCACAAAAATTGCGAGCACCGGACCCGGAACCTAAAAGCTGTCTAATAAACATCAGCTGTTGGTTATGCTGAAATGATGTGGGCGGGGGCCAGGGGCATGGGCGTCCCCCCGCAGGTTCGGGGGATTTAGAAGGGTCCAGAGTGAGCGTTCACACTGCGGCTCTGGCTCTGGCTGGCGTCCTCTGCCTCCAGGTCGTGCCAGGTCGGGGGGTGAAGGAGGTGCAGGGGGGCTCCCAGAGCATCCCTGTTGTGTGGACTCCTCCTTTTCCGAAGGGGATGGACTTCTCCCCCCAGGGTGTCTGGAAATTGGTGTGGGGGGGGGCTTTGGGGCTGTGACAAGCCCTGCCCCCTTTTATGCGGAGGCCCAGCCCGCAGTCTTGGGACAGCCCCCCAAATCCAACAACTGCATCACTTCAGGCGTCCATAGTGGGATCCAGGGCCAGATTGCCCTCATCCTGGCCCAGCAGAGCCCCGACCTCCAGTGTGAGGACCCCAACCCGGGCTGACACCCCCACACTGGCGGAGCCCGTCAACCCTGACACCTCCAGGCCACTTTGGTTGAACCCCAGGCCTGGCTGACCCTACCCCCACTCCAGCCAAGCCCCCCCCACCCGCACCCCAGGTTGAGCCCCTCAGGGCTGGCTGACCACTCACCCCTACTGAACCCCTCAACCAGGGGCTGAGCCCCCATCCAGCCTGAGCCCCTCCCCCTGCTGAGTCTTCACCCTACAAAAGAAGCTCCTACAAGTGCCCTGTTTCCCGCTGCGGGGAGGGGCAGGACCATGGGGGTTCGGGTGCAGCTGGCTGGGGGCCCCCCAAAACCCAGATTCTGGGTCCAGATCTCGTCCTGCCCACAAGGGGGCGCCGGAACCTCGCTGGTGGGGGCAGAAGCACCCAACCCCGCTGGGGATGCGCGGGGAGGGAACGTGTGGTCTGGGGAGGGCCTCGGACCCCCACCTCCGACTGTGGTCTGTTCCCGGCTGGGTGGGGCGTAGGGCCGCACACCTGTGTGCACTGCAGGGCACTGTGCCTGGGTCCCTGTGTGCGCCTGTCGTTGTGCCTCGGTGTCCCCATCAGTGAGCCGGCTGTAATGGTCCCTCCTGGGTGGGTCTGTTGTACGACTGCAGGAACCTGCGCAGCCCAGAGCTTTGCTTGCCCATTGTGGGGTTCCCCCCGGAGGGGCTCGAGATGCCAGGGCAGGGTGACGGGCAAGGGCTCAAGGATCCTGGCCCCCCGAGAAGGGGAAGTGACAGCCCCTCACTCCTGTGATGCTCCCGAGCGCCACAGCGTCCCTCCCATTGGACTCCAGTGGCTGAGAAGCCCCACGGCTGCCGGGGGTGGGTGGGGTGGGGGGAAGAACTGGACGCGGCGCTTGACACCCCTGCTGGACACCCCTGTGTGTCATCAGGGCTCGGGTGGGAGGGGTTCAGGGCCGGGAGCTGGGGCAGGAATAGGGGCTCTGCCCAGACAAGTGGGGAAGGCCTCCTGGACGAGTGGTGTTTAGAATGAAGTCAGGTCCCCCCTCTGCCCACAGCCCTCCAGGACTCCCAGCTCCTGGGGTGAAAGCCCGAGAAACCCTGCAGGACCTGCCCCATCCCCTCCCTGCCCTCCCCTCCTCCCCTGGTCCCTCACTCTTCTCCAGCCACACGGGCCTCCTGGCTGTTCCTTCAACATGCCAGGCCGGGGCCTAACCCCAGGGCCTTTGCACAGACCATGCCCCTGCCTGAAACACTCATCTTTCAGATGTTTCCCTCCTTCTATTCGTCTCTGGTTAAGTGTTACCTCCTCCTGGGAGACCCACTCTCTTATCCTTTGCTTCACTTCTTTGGCACTTACCTCCTCTGATACATATTTTACAATTTTGAAATTTTATTTTATTTTATTTTATCTTTTTATAATATTTTTATTTATTTATTTTATTTATGATAGTCACAGAGAGAGAGAGAGAGAGGCAGAGACACAGGCAGAGGGAGAAGCAGGCTCCATGTAGGGAGCCCGACGTGGGATTCGATCCCGGGTCTTCAGGATCGCGCCCTGGGCCAAAGGCAGGCGCCAAACCGCTGCGCCACCCAGGGATCCCTATTTTATTTTTTAAAAAGATTTTATTTATTTATTAATGAGAGACAGAGAGAGAGGCAGAGACACAGGCAGAGGGAGAAGCAGGCTCCATGCAGGGAGCCTGATGCGGGACTCGATTCCCGGACTGCAGGATCATGCCCTGGGCCGAAGGCAGGTGCTAAACCGCTGAGCCACCCGGGCTGCCCTATTTTACACTTTTTTTAAAAAGAAAATATTGTATTTATTCCTGAGAGACACAGGGAGAGAGGCAGAGACACAGGCAGAAGGAGAAGCAGGCTCCTCACAGGGAGCCTGATACAGGACTCGATCCAAGGACCCTGGGATCACGGCCTGAGTCAATGGCAGATGCTCAGCCGCTGAGCCACCCAGGCGCCCCTGATATATATTTTAGTTATTTCTACCATTGACTATGCATCTCCCCAACTCGGGACTGTAAGCGCTATGAACGCTGGTTATCTGGGGTGTTTTATGTTCCTCGCTGGGTCCCCAGTACTTGGTACTGTGCAGATGCTCAGGAAATCTTTGCTGAATCGGAGTTTGCTAGGTGGAAAAGGAGAGGGAGAGCATTCTGTACATTTATGGGTCACTGACTGTGTGCCAGGCTCTGTCCTTGGAGCCAGGGGTGGGGCGTGGCGGGAGAGGTGGAAGTTACCATGGGGTTTGTTGATTGAAGTCCCTGCAGAGATCCTAAGTGGCTGGTGGGGGTGGAAGCTACTGGGGAAAGGTGGGGTGGCCACCTGGAGGAAGAAGATGTTGTTGTGGGGCCTCAAGGGTTTGCGGAGATTGGGGAGCCAGCGATGAGCAGCAGAATAGCAGGAGCCAAGGCTCAGGGGCGTGAAACAACTCCTCGTGGGGTGGGCAGAGCACTGGAGCCACCAGGGGCACTGCAGGTGGGACCAGGCGGGACCCAGAGCTCACCGAGGTCAGTGTGTAAAGCAGGTCCCTCCCGTGGGCTCAGTGGATGTGGACATGGGGCCAGACCGCTATGTGTGTGGGTTTCCTGAGTGCCATGGGGGGCTACGCAGCACCCCTGGCCCCAGCCCTCAATGCCAGGAGCACCCCGCCAACAGATGTCTCCCGGGGACCCCAGAATCTCAGACCACCTGCCTGCTCGCCCAGCAGCCGCCCCTCCCCTTCACTCAGGCACAGAACCACCCAAACAGCACAGAAAGGAGGACCCAGGACAGTCAGCGAGAGTCGAAGCATAGCTTGTTTAATTTTTATACATTTTTTCTTCCTTCTTTTGTCTTTTTTTTTTTTTTTTGCTTTTTATTGAATCTTGTATGGAACCCCCCCTTGTTTCATTTTTTTCTTTTTTTCTTTTTTTGCATAGGGAAACAAACAAACAAAATAATAACAGCCAGAGTCACTTTTCTGTAAATGGTAGGCGCATCTGCAAAAACCGAAATGACTGCATAATATACAAGGTTATGACCAGAGTATGCTGTGAGGGGGGTAGGCGGGCGAGCCGGGCAAGGGAGGAGTCCGGCTGGTCTACCACATGTCCCCTGTCCCTGTCCCGGAGGGGGAAGGGGGAGGGCGTGGGCAGCAGACCCAGCCTAGGCCTTCTCCCAACCTGGGTTCATGAGCATGGGTGTATGTGTGTGTATGTGTGTGTGATCCGGTGTGCGTGGCAAGCAGGAAGCAAGAGACAGAGTAAACTATTCTGGTAATATTAGTAAAATACAAAATAGAGGGGGACCTCAAAAAATATCTTGGAGGGAAAAGAAAATGAAGAGCAACATCACCAAAAAGTTTTTGGAAGGAAGGAAGGAAGGAAGGAAGGAAGGAAGGAAGGAAGGAAGGAAGGAAGGAAGGAAGGAAGGAAAAAAGGAAAGAGAAAAGAAACTCAAGAGTCAAGTGGGTCTCTCTCCTTCCTCCTGGCTGCCCCCTGCACTGGGCTCCATCCCTCAGACTCTCTCCTCTTCCCCCATGTAGGGTCCTGGGGGTAGGAGGGCAGGAAGCTGGGGGCAGAGGCCAGGACCCCCGGATTTGAAGGGACTTTGGTTTTGGAGGCCTGGCTGGGACCCAAGATGGGAGGACGGGGTGTTGATGCATTTGGGGAATGGACTTTTGGGGTTTCCAACAGGAGGGGGCTGGGATAGCTCCCATTCCCCTTCCGTGGGTTCCCTTCTGGCCAGGAGGTGTGAATGGAGGGCCGTGGGGAGGGCAGCAGCTTGGGGGTGCATGACTTCCTCTCTGAGCCCTGACTCCTGTTAGATCCCACCTTCTCTTTCCTGAGGCCTGGGGGGGGCCTGGGGAATAGGGGAGGAGAACCCCAAAGCCACACCAGCAGACGTGTGGAGGCACTGCTTGGGAAAAGTCTGTTTTGGTATCGCTGGCAACAAGTCCCGCTGGTACAGCTTTGGGTCTGTCTCCCTGCCTCACCTGGAGGGGGGTGTGTTGGGGGGTGGGCCAGCGCCGGGGGCCCCATGCACTCTGAAACACTTAGGGATGGATGGATGAATGGGGGAGGCTGTCAGTTTAAGGTGGGACTCTCAGGTGTCCAAAGGGGCAGAAACGGGGAAAGATGGGAGGATGCGGAGGAAGCCGGATTTGAGGATGGATCTCTGGAACCTCTCTGCCAACACCCTCCAAAAAGAAAGTAGAAACCAGGGTCTCAGAGAGGGAATCCAGGTCAAAATAAAAAAGTAGCCACTGTATAACCTGTATTATGAGAAAAACTCCAAAATTATATATATATATATGTGTGTATATATGTATGTGTGTGTGTGTGTCTGTGTGTATATAGTATAGCCCTACGTTGGAGGTCAAAGTACCGTGGGAGAAGTCAGAGTGGGGAGAGGGTCCTCAAGCTGCATCTTGCAGGGGGGCTGGAGTTCCTCCTAGCCCAGGCTCCTCACTGGCTGCTGTCCCTGGGGACAGACAGCAGGTTCCAGAGCAGAGATGGGGGACGTGTGGGGCTGAGGCTGGAATTGTCTGCTGCTTGGGGGGTGCAGCCACCCCCCAGGTCGCCTTCGGGGTTCCTCTTGGGTCTGATTGTCTAGCTCAGGGCGGGGATGGGTCTGAGCTCGGAACTTGGCAGGAGGCTGAGCTGCGAATCCAGGCCTGGGGATCCCTGACCCCCTTCTCGGTGGACAGGGCCAGGTCTTCCTGCCCCTCTGCACCTCCTTTTCCACCCTAGTCATCCCACGCCCTCGTCCAAGAGAGGAGGGAGGGCAACTTGCATATATCTGGGAAGCCTCCCCGTTCTCTTCTACAGCATGGGGTGGGGGTGGGGGCACCCAGGCTCAGGATGGGAGGGGGGCCTCCCATGGGGAAGGACAATGATGGATGGCGGGTGGCAGCAGGCGGGAGGGGAGGGGGTTTGAGAACAAGTTAGTTTCATGCCAGTAAAAAACAACGGGACACCCTGTGCCCCACCTGGAGCCCAAACCGCAGACGTGGGGAAGGGGTCTGGATCCTGCTGTTTCCGCCAAATTCTGCCTGTGGCCTTTCCTCCAGGGGGAGTGGACGAGCCTAGGATGGCACTACCTACTCAGCAGCAGCAGCGCACAGCTGGGGGCGGCGGGCTGTGGGCAGACCACGTGGTCCCCCCAAGCCCTCGGGGAGGGGTCCCGGGTAGGCTGCTCCCCAATTCTGGGGGGAAGAGAATAAAACCCAGAAATCTGCCCCATGGAAACTGACAGGCAGGGCCTTGGGCTCTCGGACAGTTCTCAGGGGCAGCGACCTGCCCCCTGGGACGTGCTGAGGCATCTTTTTAAAAGACATGGGATGAGCGTGGGATGTGGATGGAAGCCGGGTGGCCTGTGAGGTTCCTCCCTGCTCTGGGGGGCAACCGTCTGCCCTGTCTGCCCTGTCCCCACAGGAGATGAGTGGGAGGCCGAGCTTGAAGAATCCAGCCCTCTGACACCCCGCTAACCGGCTGCTACTGTCTCAGCTTTGGTCGAGTCAAAAGCAAAGGAAATTGGGAAAAACAAAACAAAACAAAACAAAAACAAACCAACAACAAAGAAAGAAAAAAACAGAAAGGGAACATGAAATCAAGGACAAGACAACAGCGAGAGCAGCCACCAGATGGAGGCCTGTGCCCAGGGGTCCCCGTCCTGGGCCGTCCCTGTGCCCATGGGCGCCGGCTGGGCCTACGGCGGCTGTGCTCAGTCTCCAGGGACAGACAGACAGATATTGCATATATTGGGTTTGGCTTGTTTTCTGTTTGTTTCATCCCAGATAACACCCCCCCCCCAGTCACAGCTGGAAGACAGAAGTGGGTGCTGGCGGCACAGAGGGGGCAGGAGGGGAGTGCCGTCCCAGGCCGGTCTCCAGGGAATGGGGGGGTGGAGGCGAATCCTTTGGCAAGAAGGAAGGGGGGCCTGGGGGAGGGTTGGAGGGGAACCTGGGGAGGGGGGAGCGGCAATGTGATCCTGAGCCAGAGGGACGCCAGCCTGCAGGAAAGGTGGGGTGGGGGTCTGGCTGTAGGCAGGATGGCCACCCCGTGGGGACACCACTGGCCTGGTGGCAGGACAAACCCCTGCACTGGGGGCAGGGCTCACCCCTGAGGTCTGTCCGCCGCTGTGGGCAGGGGCCTCGGAAGTGACCCTTCTGGAGTGCAGGGGTGGGGCTGGGGGCAGCAGAGCACCAGGGCGCACCCCCACTGCAGCAGGAGGTGGAGACAGAGCCAGGGGGTGGGCGTGGGGCAGACCATGGGGCGATTGTTCTGTGGATTGCTTTTTCTAGCGTGGGATTTTTCTTTTTTTTTTAATTCTTTTTTTTTCTTTTCTTTTTTTTTTACAAATAGAAATACATCCCTCTTCAATTTTTATTTTTTATTTCATGTCATTGTTTTGTCTTTTTGTTTTTTTTTTTTTTAACTACACGAGCAGTGCATGCAGCTAACTGTGTGCGCTGATATTGTTTAAAGGTAATACTTATTTTCGGAAGGCAAGGCACATCATGTGGTAGAAAATTTCGTGCAAATTAGGAAACATGGAGTTTTTTTAAGGGTTTTTTTTTTGTATCTTTTTTTTTTTTTTTTTAAAGAGGAGGGGGTAGTGTCGGAGGGTTCGGGGAGGGCTGGGAGAGGGGGATAGAGCCAGGTATAATTTGCCATGCAGTATCAGCCGCGGCGAGCTGACAACAGGAGCCAGGTCACAGGAATCCCCGACTAAGCACCATGCAAAGTTAGGTAGCTGGGGGCTGCCAGGTGCCCCTCCCCTACCCCGCCTACCCACACCCTAAGGTTCCATGGCTGAGAAGCTTCCGGATACCCCACCTGCACGATCCACCCCCCTCCTGCCCTCCCGGAGAGCGGCCCAGGCTTTGCTCCCCAACGGCCACCCAGTGGAGGGGGGCCTTGGGGACAGACGGACGGACCAAGGGTTCTTGAATGCCTCTGGACAGTGGGAGGGGGGTTGGTGGGGAAGGGTCTTTCTCTATACGGTTGAGTGGGTTTGCCAACCCTCTCTGGGGCTGGTTTGGGAGGAAAGTCCAGTTTCTGGGGAGATGGGAGGAGGCTGGCCAGGCCTGGGGCACCGGGAGAGGGTCAGGAGGGCCAGGCTGAGAGCAGATGAGGCGGAGGCCCAGCCCAGGGCGATGGCTTTGGCCCAGGCTGGGGGTTGGGGGGTCGCGGTGGGGAAGGTCTTCCCCAGGGCCAGGCGTGGAGGAGGCCAGTTGGGACTCAGATGGATGGGATGGGAGGAGTCCTTGTGTTCGGGCCTGGTGACCCTAGAACACCTAACACCCCCTCCCAGGGCCCCCACCCAAGATGGCCATCCTGGGGTGGGGGTGGGGATGGGGCCAGGGAGCCGGGGTTGGGGGGCACCCGGTGTCCCCAGCTTAGTGTTTTTGGAGCGGCTCAACGGAAAACATTTAGCAGACGGGAGGTCCCCCACATGGCCACAGGGGACACCCCAAGGCGCCAACCCCCCCCTCCCCCGGCCAGAACCCCCCCCCAGCCCTCATCCGGGAGTGCACGGACACGGCCGCCCGGCCTTCTTTCCTGGTGGGGGCCCAGCTGCGATGCACCTCCCTGGCTGCGCCCCACTTCGGCGGGGGAAGATGAAAGTGCAAACCGTGGTCCCCCTTTGGGCTGGGAAGCACCAGGGAGGGGGTGCCGCTCCAGGATGTAAGGCACTGGCAGAGGAGACGAGGGAGGGCCTGCTGGCTTCCCCAGATCCCACCCCTGTGCCCGAGCGCAGCAGGGTCCGAGGGAGCCCAGCTCTGCCCCTTGGGCCAACTGCAGGTGGGGGGGTGTTCCCATCTCTCTAGCTCTGAGGGGAGCACAGCAATGAGGGTCGGCGACTGGAGGTGGCCGGGTTGTGGGAGGGAATGGAAGGGGCCCGCGGCCACTTCCCATTCCAGCTGGACAAAGGGGGGCGGGCGGTGGGAATCAGGCACTTAAACCACTCGCTCTCACCTCCCACCTCCGTGGGCTTCAGCGGGGGGGGTCCTCCCCTCCCAGGGCGCGGGACGGAGGCTCGGGCAGCTGTCCCCACCTGGGGAGCTCCGAGTCTCTCCACCCCCCAAGCCCCTTCCTCGGAAAGTGCATTTCTTACAGTGTGTGCAACGTGGGTCCCTCCCCGGGGTGGGGTGTGGAGCAGGGCCAGCGGGGTGCGGTGTGGGGTGGCCTCCTGTGCCGCGGGGTGGAGCTGGGGGGTCAATTGCATAGAGACTTCTCCTCCCAAACAGGGCAGGCATGGGGCGGAAAGACCGAGTCCCGAGCAAGCCCAGCCGAGCGCGCACGCTTTGGGGCAGGCGGAGGTCCCGCGACCGCAGGACGCTCCTGAGAAAGTTCCTGCCACGCGTCCCAGTCCCCCTGGCGACACCCAGGGTCTCCCCACAACCCTCTTCTGCCCTCGTCGCTTCCCTGCCCACTCGGGCCTCCAGCGGCGGCGGCCTTGGCTGTCCTCGCCAGGCCCCCCCACCGTCCCCACGGCACCTGCCTCCCCGCACGGTGGACACCGTGGCGGAGGCCTGGCTGACATCCCGGCAGTGGGGACCCAGGGAGAGGTGGCCGTGCTGGGCGTCCTGCCCCGTGAGGCCCGGGCAGGGGCACCGGGCCGCGCTCACCTGGTCCTGGGTGGAGGCGGGGAGCGGGCGCCTGCCCTTCCAGAGCAGCAGCCAGAGATGAGTAACAGGACGGCGCCCTGACCCTCGCGCGGCCTCGGAGCGGTGGCGGGGCCTGGCCTCTGGTCCGGCCGGCGACCCCACAGACTGGGGGCTGCCGTCTTTACCTTTTGTCTTCTTGGTTGGGTGGGTTTGTTTTTATGGTGGTTTTTTTTTTTTTTTCCGTTTGTCTTTTTTTTTTCTTTTTTTTTTGCCTTTTTTTTTTCTTTTCTCTTTTTGCTTGTTTCCCTCCTGTGTGTATGTGTCTGTTTTGTCTTTTCGGCCAGGCTGGGAGTCGGCGGGGTGTTCTTGCTCGCTCTAACTTTCCACCGAAAACGTGGGCCGGGGGCCGGCTGGGCGACCCCCTGGGATTCCCGCGACGAAGGAGCAGGGCGTGGGACGAAATCTTTCTTATCCCAGATACCAGGACTGGGTGCCCGACGGGGACACACGGAGCGGGGCGGGGGGGGGGAGAGAGAGAGAGACACACGGGGGTCAGGCTCCACCACTGACCGCGCTGGCCACTGCCCACACCCGCCTCCCTGGGACCCGTCTCCCCCGTCCCCCCAGCCCCAGGCGTGTCGGGACCTGCGAGAGGCCCCTGGCCCAGGCTGCCCTGGATGAAACTCGGGGTGCCCACGGACACCCGAGTTCTGGAGAAGCCGCGGGGAAACCCGTATACCGTGCAACTTCCGGTATATACTTATGCTAAAACAGGTATTTTTCAGACTTATTTTTATCTCTCATTTATCTGGAACTTAAATCTGGTTGAGCATCCTTTGTTTACGACCAGCTCTCGGTGCCCTGAGTCTAAAAAGGGGGAGAGGATGTGGCTCCGCCCTGGGCTTCCCTCCACGTGCTGAAGCTCTAGGGAGCGCCGCCTCGGCCAGGCACTGTGACCAGGGTCACAGGGTGACCAGGGCTGTCTGCTGTCATTCTTCAAACAAATGTTTTCCCATTTAATGACCCCCCCCAATTCTCCATAAAGGGGGGACGACGCCCCCACCACCCCGTTTCAAAGCGAAGAAAACATGGGCCCAGAGAAGTCAAGTAATTGGCCTGAGTCCACCAGCGAAGGGGCACCACGGTGGATTCCCAGCTCGGCAGCCCAGCCCTTGCTCCCCGCCGCCGGGGTCTGACCCCGGCCTGGCCCTCCAGGGGTCGCGACCTCCACTTCACCCGGGAGTCCCGGGGTAACAGTCCACCTGTGTGGGGCCGGCCTGGGGACCCCCCCCCCCCGTCGTAGGTCAGTTGTGCCTCCACCCAGGCCGCCGGGTGGGCCATCCCACGGGCCATCCCCACGGACTGGCGCCCTGCCTCCCAGCCCCCCACCTCCAGCCAAGTTCAAGTTCATCTTGGCCATTACCTCATGTCTGGTTTCTGTTGGCAACCAGACAGACTCTGGGCGTGACCCTCCCCCATGGTGGCCTCCCCTTGGCCCTTCCTCCCTCCTCCCTCCCAGGCCTCTGGTCCCAGTGACTTAACATCCTCCCCTTTGGCTGAGGGGGAGCCTGAGGCGCTGGGGTGGGGGTGGGGCACAAGGTCAGGGCTCTGGACTCCCCCTGGCCTGGCTGGAGCCACCAGTGTGGCGGTGGCAGGCCGCTTAACCCCTCTGGTCCTTAGCTCGAGTGACTCATCTGCTGGATGGGGGTCACGCGCCTCGGGCAGAAAGGATCCTGGTGTAAAATGCTCAGCTGGGGGGCTCCCATCACATGGGACGGGGCAGAGGTGTCAGCGCCCTCGGAGCCCACACTGGGGGCCAAAGCGATGGGTGGCTGAGGACTGGGGGGGTGCAGGGGGAGATGGAGGTGGGTAATGGATGGGGGAGGGGCACGGAGGGGGGATGGGCATGGAGTGGGGCGGGGCAGGGCACTGATGGTGGGGAGGGATGATGGAGAGGATGTTGGTGGGGAGGGGCGCTGCTGGGGAACGGGGGGGGGGGGTATTGATGGGGGAGGGTTTTTTTAAGATTTTATTTATTTATTCATGAGAGACACAGAGAGAGAGAGAGAGGCAGAGACACAGGCAGAGGGAGAAGCAGGCTCCATGCAGGGAGCCCGAAGTGGGACTCGATCCCAGGACCCTCCGGTCACGCCCTGAGTTGAAGGCAGATGCTCAACTGCTGAGCCACCCAGGTGTCCCTGGGGGAGGAGATAGTGGTGGGGGAGGGGCACTGACATGAGGTGCAGCAAGTGGAGGGTGTGGGGAGGGAAAGCAGCTGTACGCTGGGGGGCAGTTGAGGGGTGGGGGGCCAGAGGAAGGCAAACCTCCCAGGAATAATGGAGGCTGAGGGGCTCCAGGAGGGGGGGGCAGGGGTCTCATAGTGTCCTTCCTTCCCTTTAGAATCTGCAGGGGGCTCTGACCCCACAAGGGAACCGGGGTGCCTTAGCCCAGCCGACCGCAGCACCGCCAGGGGCATCCCCGAGAGCCGCCCTCCCCGTTCACGCAGGCTGGGGCTTCCCCACTCCCGCAACCCAGCCATCTCCCTTCCACATCCATGTCCCCCACCAACACCAGGCCCAGAAAGTTCTTTCTCGTTTCTAGATCTGGCTGTGCCCCTCCCTCACGTCGAAGCCGTCCATGGCTCCCCATGGCCCTCAGGACACAGCCCACATTCCAGCTGTTTCTCTAGCATTTCCAGCCTCTGTCAGGGCCGAGCCCCCTGCCTGGGCACCCTTACCCTGCTCCTCTGTCGGGCAGCCTCTGTACCAGCTCCAGCCTCTCCCGACCGGGGCAGGGGGCTCGGTGCCCCTCCCTGAGCTGCCTCCACACCCGCCTGGGGCTCGCTGGCCAAGAGGGGGCATGAGAAGCGTGCAGAATCAAAGTCCTGCCCTGGCCTGCCTCAGTTTCCTTCCGCTCCCAGGACACCTGCTGTGGGGGGAGGGGGCCCCATGGAGGGGTCAATAATGGGGAGGTGAGGCGGGGGCAGGGCCTCCTCCAGGTCACTGCGTGTCACCTCTAGGTTCTGGAGCAGTGAGGGCATTCCCAGCCTCCCACTGGGGGTGGGTTGGGGGGCGGGCGCAGGAGAAGCAATGGATGGCTCCAGAGCACTGGGCAGTGGGCGCATCCACGCTGGGACCCACAGAGGGTGCCGTGGGGTACCCCAGACCCAGAATGGGCAGTCCTGGAGTCACCCCAGCTTGCTGGGGGAGCCTGACCAAGCGACTCCCGTCTGGGCCCCGGCCGGAGCACGACCACGCACACCTCCTCCCCGGGGTTTGCAAGGGCACATGGGCAGCCGCTCTGCCTTTTGGTGCCTTTCAGCTAAACTGGTCCCTGCAGGAGCACCCCCGGGAGGCGTCCAAGGCCAGAAGACGAGACGGGCGTTCCGTGGGTGAAGCAGCCGGTAAAGGCCAGGCCTCCCCAGAGCCCGCAGCCCCGTGAGCTGCCAGCAGCAAGCTGGACCCCGGAGGGCCCACAGCTGACTGGGTTTTACCTGACAATGGGGGACGATGGGGGACGATGGGGGAGGTGGCTAGCTCCCCAGCTCCTCCCCATCCCTGCCCACGGCCTCGGCTGCAAAAAACCTGCACGCAGCTACGGGGGGGGGGGGGGCTGCAGCCCATGGGTCCCACAAACCTGCACTACAACCCCCCTCCCCAACACGCACCGCAGTGGGGAGCGGGGGCTCCAGGCCCCAGCCCCCGGCTGCCAACACGCTCCCAGGGCCAGCATGCGGCCTGGACTCAGACCCCGACCCTGCGGGAAGCTGGCAGCCACGAGTCTTAGTTCTGGACCATCAGGGCTCTGCCCTCCGCTGCTGTGCGACCTCAGGCAACCCGCTCCTCCTCTCTGGGCCTCCTGCTCTTGTCCTCGGCCGCTCCCCCCCACCCCGGTGCTCAGCTGCAGTTCCCCAGCAATGCCTCTGCTGCTCTGCTCTCCAGCATGGGGGGGATGCACATGCTCCACTGGGAGGCCCCTCCCACCCTGGGGGGCGGGGCCAGGGGCTGCCTCAGTTTCCCCACCTGCCCCTGGAGTCCTAGAGTCCACCGCTACCCTCTGCCCCCTTTCTGGGGACGAAGGCTGGGGGCTGTAAGCTCGGGCTGACGTGCTGTGTGATCCTGGGCAAACCCCCTCGCCTCGGCGGGCCTCAGTCTTCCCATCGGTACAAATGGGCCTGGCGTGGTAACAGGCCCGGCCTGGCAGCCGCTCTGCCGGGAGCGCCTCCCGTTGGGAAGCAGCAGGCAGGGTTGGCGGCCGTACCACCTCCCTGGTGCGGGCTCGAGGCCCTGGAAGGGTATGGGAAGCTGGCCCCCCTGCCACGCTCAGCGGCCCCTGTCCAGGGGTGCGGCTGGAGGGGTGGCACGGGACCGGCAGGCCGGCCTCTCCCTGCGCACCCAGGCGGGCCCCTCTGCCCTGCCCCCCTCCCCCCCAGCCGGCCTCTCGGCCCCTACCTGTGCCTGATAAATGCCCGCTGGATCCCTTGGTCCTAATCCCACAAAGGAACGGTTTGCAGGGGACGTGCCGGGCGTAGAGTAGGCTGCAGGGACGAGAGAGACCGAGAGCCCGTTAGCGAGGGGTGCGCGGGAGCACCCAGAGAGGGTGGCCGCTGCCCAGGGTCACACAGCCGGGCCTTCGCACCCAGCGCCCGACGCCTCCAAGCTTGTTGCGCCCCCCCGCCCCCCGCCGATCCGGGCACCCCGGAAAGCCCACAGTGCCGGGCCCTGGGGTCACACAGGCGGGGCATCTGCTGAGAGGGAAGGCACGAGATGAAAGATTCATAACCAGAAACCGCCTGTGAATTATTCAGGAAGCTCCACTGCCTGCTCCGTCCTGCTCCGCGGCCCGCATCCCGCGCGGGGCGCCATGAATTATTGAGGGCGCTTTATTTATTAATTTTCCTCTTGCAGCTGCACGGGAGGGCCGGGTGTTCGCAGACACGCACGCGCAGGCACACACGCATTCATCTTTATGTTTACGTTTACGGTTAGGTCGTCGTCCCGCCAGTTCCGTCTTGTGGGCCAGCGAGGGATCCGCGGCCCGGGGCTGCCGGGGGTGGTGGGGAGGCCTCAGGCCGGCCGGGGGCGGCATCAGCCGGGGGAGGGGTGCGTGGGGGGCGCGGAGGCCCTGGTAGGGGCGGGCAGTACGTGCTGTCATAACCCGGGCGTGGGGGGGTTCACGGGCCCCGACCCCACCAGCCTGCACAGGCCCCCATCTAGCAGACGTGATGACTCTTCCCATTTTACAGCCCAGCGAGCAGTGGCCGTGCCCCGTCCAGCGTCTTGGCTCCCTACCCTGTGCCTGGTGTGGTGCCCGTGTCCCCCCCACCCCGATCTAGCTCCTCGCCTGCTCCCCACCACCTGGCGCTCGGGGACCTGCGACCGTCCCATTATACAGCTGAGAATCCGCAGGGACAGGATTCAAACCCAGTGCCTCGCGCCGCAGAGAAAGCTCGTGTGCTCGTGCAGCTGCCGCCCTGCGTCCTGGCTGGCCCCAGATGCGGGGGGCAGGGGGTGCGCCTGCGGGCCGGGGGCAGGCTGCCAGCACCCCTGCTCAGGTGCGGTGAGGAACCGCATTTGGGACAAAGGGAGAAGGATACCCAGCGTGTGAGGGGCAGACTGAGAGCCCAGGGTGGGGGGGGGGTGTCCCTGAGATCATCCACTTGGGGAGGCACCAACTGAGACAGCCTTGGGGACACCTGGAGGCCGGCAGCCAGGAGTGAGGCGGCCTGGAGGAGCGGGGACGGCCCACCCGAGCCTGCACCGGGTCCAGGGAAAGGCTGGAGCACCTGGGAGCCAAGTCCCAGACTGCGGGGGGCCCGCGAGCTGTCCTCTGGAAACCATGTATCCAGCGGGTGGAAAGTTCTAGAAGGCGAGGCAGTCAACTCAAGGCCTTCTAGGGTCAGGTGGGCAGGTGGGGACTGTCCCATTGAGAGGCGTGGCCCAGCCGGGCTCACCAGCAGGAACACAGACGTCGTGCTTGCCTTTTTGCCAAGAACCCAGAACCCCGGGATTTTCATGTGACCTGTCCTGACTCTAAGACAACAGATTCTCATGTTCTACAGACAAAAGGCATCTGGGGGCTGCGCCTGCCCCCACAGCCACCAGTTTGAGGTCTTGACCTACTCCACCTGCCCTTTGCACAGAGGAGGCTCAGAGGCCGGGAGCAGACGCACGGGGACCCCAGACGCCCCCCTGGCCCTCGCCTGCCACTCCCTAAGGCTGCCTTGGCCCCACGTGGGCCCGACCACGTGGCCCCCCAGGCTTCTGTCTGGGGACCCACCAAACTCACCGGTACCAGGCAGGCCAGGCCTGAGCCCCTGACCCCAGCAGTCGGGGAGGGGAGGGGAGGGGGCCCCTCAGGGACGCCCGCCCTGCCACGGGCACCGCTTCCCGAGTGCTTACAGGGCGAGGTCGGCGACGTGCTTCCTCCCTCGGAGGTGGGTTTGGTGGCAGGGGGGAGCGCCAGCCGCGGCAGCCCAGGGGGCGGGGGTGCCAGCATCTGAGCGGAAAGGCAGTGACTGGACATTTTGAGCTGACCACTTCCATTTAACTGGGAGGAACAGAGAGACAGGTGGTTAAGGCGGCGGGCGCCCCTCTGCCTCGGGCTGCCGTCCGCGTCCTGCGGGGGACGGCGGGCTTGGCGGGACCAGGGCGAGTCGGTGGGGCCGCTGACGCCCGCCCGCCTGTGGCAGCATCCCGGGGACCCTGCGTTTCCTCCTGAGGCCACTCTCTACCCGTCTGCTTTCCTTCCAGAGCCGTCACCTCATCCGAAACCGCAGCCGACCCCGGGGCGGGTCTGCACCCCCCTCACTCGCGACGGGGACGCGGCGTCCACCGCCTCGGCCGCGGCTCCAAGACACAACAAGCTCCTCGCACCCAGAGGGCCAAGCTGCGGCCACAGGGCCACGTCTGATGCGGGGGAAGACGTGTGCTGTCAATTCCGATGCCCGGAAGGGCCTGACTTCTGACCCGGCTCCGAGCACTCGGGGCGCGGGGCGCGGACCTGCCGTCTAGAAACCGCACGAGACGGAGGCTGCCTGGCGGAGCGCCGCCCGGGGACGGCTGAGGGACGCGCCGGGGCCCCCGCGAGGTTACCCGGAGCCGCGCGGGCCAAGAGGGGAGGCCCCAGCCCCCCAGACTCACCGGTCCAGGCTGCTGGCTGGCAGGGTCACAGGCCAGCGACACGAGATCTTTGAGCGGGTCCTGGGGGTTGAGGTGAGGCGGGTAGCGGATGGCCGTGTGCGGGAAGTAGGTGGAGGCCGTCTGGGGCAGGATGGACGTGGTGGGGAAGTGCAGCGCCGAGGAGGGGTGAGGGCTCCGGGCAATCCCTGCGGAGACGGGAGCGGCGTGAGCGGTGGCTCGGGCTGTGGCCGGGCTTAGTCCGATGGCACAGTGAGACCCAGCAGCCCCGTCACCGGGGCCCGGCTGTCCCCCGTACGCTGAGCGGGCTGACCTGCACCACGAGCCCACCGGGGTCCCGTAGCATCCTCTTATTTTTTTGTTGTTTCTTAAGTAGGCTCCACACCCAGCGTGGAGCCCAACGAGGGGCTTGAACTCACGGCCCCGAGATGGAGACCTGAGCTGAGATCAAGAATCAGACGCTCAACGGATGAGCCACCAGGGGGACCAGGGTTTTGTTTTTGGTTTTGAAAACAGGGTGACTCGTCGTCCCCCGCCCCAGGCCACACAGCGAGGTGGTGGCAGACCTGGGGACAGTCTGGCCCCACAGCCCAACCCCAACCCGGGGCTCGGCTGGCTCTCTTTCCAGAGACAATGCACACGTCCCATAGGCAATTCTAGCACATTCTTGGGACTGTGCAACCACCACTAGTTTCTTTTAGGACATTCTTATCATCCCGAAGAGCAACCCCATCCCCAGCAGCTGTCACCCCCCACCCCGAGCCCCCTTCCTGCCCATGGATGAGCCTATCCTGCATGTGTCACACACGTGGACTCACACCCCATGGGGTGTCCTGTGTCTGGCTCCCCCCTGAGCGTCGTGGGCTCGGCATCCATCCCCAGGGGGAGGAGTGCGGGCGCCTCGCCCCAGTTTGCAGGTGAGTGACCTGCCCGGGTACTATTTGCTTTTCTTCTTTTCTCTAAACAATCTAGTGACTTTTAATATATTCGCTTTGTAATTCTAGAACATTTCCATCACCCCCAAAGACAGCCCTGCTTCTGTTCTACTCTCCCGCTCACTCCCCTCCCCCTCTCTCTAGCTCCTGGCCAAATAGTATTTTTGGCTTTTCAGGCCCCAGGGTCTCTTGCAAGCACCTGACTTTGCCACCGCAGCCTCAAAGCCTCACAGGCGATGCGTAAATGGGTGGACACGGCCACGCACCCGCGACACCTTATTTATAACAAGGGGCGCCACGGGCTGGTCCAAACCTCTGCATTGCTCTGATTTTTGCCGGCCTCCGGTACGTGTGTCTGCCCTCGTGCGGGACTAAACCGTTATCGCCGTAACAATGGGGTGACCAGCGACGTTCCCTGGATTTAGCTCATGCGGTCCTGAAGTCAGTCCTGGGGGTGGTGTGTGTGGGGGGGACACGTCTATGTACCCCAACCAACATGTGAACAAACGGAGCGCCAGGGGCACCGTGATCAGCTCAGCGCATGCCCTGCGGTTGCTGGAGACGCACCCCTCCGCCCCCCCCCAGCTACGTATGCAGCCTCCTGTCCACATGGCAGCCCTGTGTGGCCTTGTGTGTGTCCCCAGCCCTGCGTTGGGAGTGTCGCCCTCCTTCTGGGGCCTCCCAACCCCGTGGGAGGTGGAGTGTGAGATAAAGGGAGCTGGTTGGGGACAAGCCCAGACTGTACCTCCTTCCTGTACAGAAGGGGAAACCGAGGCCCAAGAGACTGAGTCAGGGCCAGGTGCTCTGCACAGGGACACCTCCAGGTTTTGCTGCCTGGCAGGGGGCGACAGCAAGGACTGTCGGTCGGATGGATGGCGAATGGGGCTTCCCCGGCCGAGGGGGGCCTGCTGAGAGGGCCCGGCCTGCCTCCCTGCCTGGGGCCCAGGGCTCACCGCTGTGCACGGCAATGACAGGCCGGTGGTGCTGCGTGAAGCTGGAGAGGCGAGGTGAGTCCTGGGGAGACGGGCTGTGGAAAGGTGACTTGTCCATCTCTGTCTTCTTCACCGGGGACGAGATACCTGCGTGGGAGGAACCAGAGGGTCACCAGGCTGCAGGCAGGGCCTCGCCTTCCCCTCTCCCCAGCCACCGTGGGCACGAGGGGAGATAGAGCCCTGGGGCCCTGAGACCAGGGCGCGGGGATGCCCTGCAGAGGGGCCTCCAGCCCAGCCCCTGGCACCTTCCCCCACGAATGCACGCTGTGAAATGGGTGCGCACGGACGCAGCAGACACCGTGGCACGGACGGGGACAGATCACGCCGCGGCTGGCCACATGGGGACCCTCCACACACAGGCGAGCCCCCTGCACCCCACCCCTGCTGAGCCCCAGATGTGAGGGCGGAGGATGGCTAGTGCAGAGCCCAGGAGCGGGATCTCAGGGCTGTGGCGCCTGCAGGTGGACGTGCTTAGAGATTATTTAAATAAAAATAATATATATCTTAGGGAGAAACGCACCCACTGAGACCCACAGAGGAACATGAGGAGGGGTGTGCTTCCTTCCTACTGGCACCACTGACATCAGGGCGGGTCATCCCTGTGTGTGGGGGAATGTCCTGTGCAGGCCGGGAAGCATCTTGCCCGCATCCCCTCCCCATCCCAGGAGCCCCCCAGGGTGACAACCGCGGGTGTCCTGGGGCAGAGTCGCCCTGCTGAGAGCGGCTGCCGTCCTCTGAGGCTGGGGTCTCCCGTGGCGCGAGCCCCCCCAGCGCAGTCCTGCACCATGTTCCCCCAACCACCCTGCTGGGTCCTGCCTCTCGGGGTCCCTCCCAAGCCGCACTGGTGGTGAGCCAGACCCGGGAGCCCTGTGCCCCCCAGTGGCCCCTGGGGCAGTCGGCTGGTTTTGCTACTACGAACCCTGGTTGGTGGCCCCGATCACGCGCTGTGGGTGAGTGTGTGTGGGGACCTGGGTCAGCAGGGTCAACAGGGTCAGCAGGCCCAACAGGCCCAGCGGCCAAGCTCTCCAGGAACAGGGAGCTGGTGGGCCGGGGGGTGGGGCGGGGCGGGCAGGGAAGGAGGCCAGCCCTGGGGGCCGTGGGCACATGTGGGGGGGCCACAGGCTCCTTGCTCCCATGGGGCTGTGGTGGGAAGGAGGTTAGGGCTGGCGGACGCTCACTTCGGAGGATTTCCTAGAACAGCCTGTCCTAGATGGAAACAGCCTGGCTGGACCCTGGCCCGCTGCCTCTCTACAGGTGTTCTAGAGCTTCCTGAGACGGGGCCTGGGGGAGGGAGCGGGGAGCCTGGCCCCCGCAAGAAAGAACAGCCCCGCAGGCCCTCGGAGTCCCTGGGTGTGAGCCCCGCACCTGCACACCCCTTGCTGGTTCGACCCACGTGCCTACCACACACCCGTGTGAGCAGCTGCCATCGGGTTAGGATGACGTCCACGTATCCTCCACCCTGGATCCGAGCAGCCATGGTTCTGCTCGACACACATGCCCTCATGTCCCCATCCGAGCACCAGGCCTGCCCCCCATGTGAGGATACCCCCACCCCCCGCCTGAGCACGCAGCCTGCTGTGGCGCGTGCAAGTGCATGGAGCACACGTGATGCCCCCGTGGCCCTGGGGACGTGGGACCTGGTCACTGTCCACAGGGGCGCCCAGGGCACGGTGGGGGCTGAGCAGCATCCCCAGCCCCACCCCTCCCCTGAGCTGTGACACGCAGATGTCCTGACGTTGGCCTGGCCCCGGAAGGCCGTCCTGCTCACAGCTGCCCCGTCCTGCTCACAGCTGCCCCGAGCTGGGCTTACAGGAGCCACCCCACTTCACAGATGGGGGCAGTGGGGCCTGATGGGAGGTCACCAGCCCAGGATGGTGGAGCAGACACCCCACGCTTGGGCCCCCTCCCGCGCCCCGAGTTCTACCAGAAGCCCCCGGGTGAGAGAAGGGAGCTGCCTGCTTCAGCCCAGATATACCTGCATGGGAGGGTGGGGGGCACAGAAGCAGCAAGAACCAAGCACTCTGGCGGCTGAGCAGAGGGTGCCCTCTCCCTGGCTCCCGTGGGGGGTAATCAGGGAAGCCTTCGGGAGGGGGTGGCCAGCAGGAGAAAAGGCGCTCCTCATGGGGCACAGAGGGCCAGGGCCTGAGAGGCGTGGCTGCGGGATGCTGCCTGGGGGGGTGCCCTCCCACGACCCCCACCCCCAGGCCTCCGCCCTTCCCAGGGAGGGGAGTGTGGATGCTGAGGGGGGTGGTTAGCTGAGCACTGCCCTTGTGGCCAGAGCAGAGGAAGGGAGAGAGTGCTCTAATCAGCTTAACCCCATTAATGAGCAGCTAATTGGGGGCTGTCTAGACAGGAAGCTGGAGGGAGCCAGGAGGAGGGGAAAGTGGGGGAGGGAGGAGGAGACCGGAGGGGGAGGGGAGGGAGGAGGGAAAGGAAGAGGAGGGGGAGCATCCACGTCCATCTTCCCCCAGGCTGCGAGCACCTGCAGGGCTTAGACAGACACAGGGCTGGGGTGCAGGCGGAGGGCCCCCGCCGACGCCGACGGGAGCGAGCCTGCCATCGCCAGAGGCAACCAATGGACGGGAGAGGGGACAGATCCCCCCTGAAGTTCCCTCCCGAGGAGGCTGGGTGGTTCCCCATGGCGCACCAGAAGCGGGGTGTGGGCTTCCTCCTCGTCCTCCCCCCCCCACCCCCCCAGGCTGCTGCCACTTCATGCTCGAGGCAGGAAGTTCAGACGGAGCTCCGCTGACTCTCTCGAACATTTCCTTCCTTTTAATTTTTTTTCTTTCTGAGCTTCCTGCATTGAAAGCTAGGTTTTTTACTTCCACCCCTCCCTCCTCTTTTTCTAATCCGCAGACCCAGGGCTATAACTTTTCCTCTCGGGGCTGCTGTGGCCACCTCACCGGGGCTGTCCCCCACCTCCAAAGAGCATCCGCTCTACACGTAGACGTAGCCCCATCGATCACAGAGCTGAGGACACATGCTTTTGGGGTCCCCGACGGTAAACGCCGGGGCAGAAGGTAACGGTCTCCCAACATCTGCTCTACCCTTCCTCCTTAGTCACAGAGCCTTTCCCCTTGAGCTGGGCACACACTTCCCGAAAATAAGGCCACATTTCCCAGAGTCCCTTGTGGCAGAGTGCGGCCATATGACCAACTTGGGGGCAGGGAGCGGTGGGCACAGAGATAAGCAGAAGAGGTAAGCGGTGCACCTTCCGAGAATTATTCTATACTTAAAGGGCGAGGACATGCTCAGACTTGACCCTTCTTTCCCGCTGGCTGGAAAGCAGACGTGATGGCTGGAGCTCCAACAGTTTTCTTGGACCACAAGATGGGTACGAAAACCACATTCACTGGAGCCTAAGCCAGGAGCCTAAGTCCCGCACACCACACACGCCCAGGGTTGCTGATGGTGGAACATTTACTTTTGAGAGAAATGCCCTGTCCTTTTGGGTTTTCTGTTTCTCACAATTAAGCGTAAAGCTTATTAAACATAGGATCTTTACACAGGCAAACCTGACAAACGGGGAACCCACAGAGACACTCTGACTCATAAATTAGAGCCTATAATAGACAGATCCTCCCAAAGTTGGGTACCTGCTCTGGACGCCAACACAATGGAAGGAGGAGGGCCCCTCGGGCTTGAATGTCACAACCAGATGTCTTAGAGACCAACTCATAGAGACGGTAATTTTATAAAGACACAAACAATGAACTCTCCTGTGTCCTGGGCACGTATCATGAGCCAGAGAGTTGCTTTAGGCACGTTGTACCATTTCCTCCTTCCAGCTCCGGGACAGGAGAGTCAGCTCACCCATCCCACCCTGGACATAAGGAAATTGAGCCCCAGAAAAGTGGAGCCACTACCCAAAGTTTCGCAGCCCACACAGCGAGCCAATGGCAGCGCTGGATTTCGAACCCACATCTCTCTGGCGTCCAAACCTGCCTTCTTAACTGTAATCTTACACTGCTTTCCAGGAATCCTGTAGGCAGGGCACTCTGTATAGACAGCTTTATAAGAAAGCTGGCTCTTGGGGGATATGGAGAGAGGACAAAGGGGGAGGGAACAAGTAAACAAATCCTAAGGTTTACTGGGTATGTATCATGTGCCAGACCTGTTTTAGGGACACCAAATGCACTAACTCGTTTAGTCCCCACGACCTTAGGTGGGTCCTGCAGGTACTGAGAGGAAACAGGCTCAGAGCAGTGGGCGTGCACCCCGGAGTCCAGGTTGGCAACCCCTGGCCCATCAGTAGGGCGACCCCTTGACAAGGGGTCATCTGCACACAGTGATGCTTCTGAAATGTGGGGACGGGTCCCGCTGAGGATCTGGGCGTCGCCAGGGACTCCGTGCCCTGGGTCAGGCCGGGGGCGGGGGGCTGAGGGGCGCGCCCCGTGCACCAGGTCCCGAGCATCCCTGAGGCCGCCCCGCTGCAGAGGCTCTTGGAGGACACGCGCGGTGGAGACGGGCCCCCACGGGAGGGAAGTCTCTGGGGCGGGGGGGGGGTGTTCCTGGGGAGCCAGCGCTGCCCCAAGAGAGCCCACGGAAACGGGTAGGGCCCCGATCGGCCGCGGGAGGACGCAACTTTCCCGGGAAGGGCGCCGACAGAGAAGCGACGGGGCTCGGCCGGGAGATGGGAACCCGCAGGAACACGAGCACGCAGGCAGAGGGGACCCGCTACAGGAGGGTCTGGGCCGACCCCGGGGCTCAGCGCCCTGCTGACCCGAGGCCACCCGAGTCCGCGCTGCAGCCCGCGGAGACGAACCACACCGGGACGACTGTGCGCCCTCCCTGCACGCAGCCAAACCCGAACGCTCGGGAACCCTAGCTCGCCCTTGCAGCAGGGAGCTGCCCGCGCGACTACAACTCCCAGGAGGCTCCGCGGCTCCAGCCCCCGGGCTTCCGGCTCCCCGGCGCCCGCGCAGTGCCTGCCGGAACACGTAGTCCCCGCCGCGGTCACCCGGCTCCGCCCCCCGCCCCCCGCCAGCCCCACCTCCTTCCATGTCCTCAGTCCAGTTGCGGCTGCTACTCGTGGGAGAGCTGGGCGAGGTGTAGTAATCGCCGCCGGGGCTCGTGTCCACGTCTTCCTCCATCGAGCCCGATTTGTGCCGCTTGCTCCTGAAGGGAGGGGGAGGGAGAGCGCGGGCCGGTTACCACGGAGACGCGAGGGCGTGGGGCAGGCTGCGCTAACTTCCGGTCCCTAGAGGGCAGGGCGCTATCGCGAGACGTCGCGGGAGCCGCGAGCTTCCAGCGGGAGGCGTGAGCGCCTGCCTCCACCTGCCCATTGCTCGGATGGGACGCGTGAGGCCCGAGGCAGCGGGGGGCCCAGCGTCAGCGGGCTGCGGACTATAACGCTGGGGGCCTGGCTAATCACCGGGCCCACCGTCAACCTCAGGCCCACGGTCCCATTTCACAGATGGGGAAGCCCACGCCAGCGCTGCGCATCTCCGCGGGAACCAGTGTCCGCGTTCCCTTGGGGTCTCGAGGGGCCGTGGACGGGGACTCTGACCGGGGTGTCGGGTCGGGGGAAAGCAGGCCTCGGGGCTGGGTTTTGAAGGATAAGTAGGAGTTTACCATGTGGGCCTTGCAAGCAGGCAAGGAGGGGAATGGACCAGGCGGCTGGGACGGCCGAGGGTGGGGGGTGGGGGCGGTAAATGCTCACAGGGCGACCAGGCCACGTACCCGCTGGAGGAAGTGCTGGGCAGCGTTCTTCTCATGCCTGTGCTGGCTGGATTCAGATCGTAGGCCAGGTGTCCCTGCAGCTCGCCCAGGGAGAAGTTGGGTCCTGTTCCAGTCACCACGGGTGCTGCCGGGGGCGAGAGAGCAGGGTGAGCAGGGCGCAAGGCCCAGGGCTGCACTCTGCCCCGGACGGTGGGGAGAGCCATCCGGGGCTGGCCAGTCCGAAAGGGAACCCCTTCCCTAACTGGCCTGGTTCCTAATTTGGCTGAAACTGTCCTTAGTCTATGGATCAGGAGACCGAAGGCAGCCAGAGAGGCCCGCTCTGCTGATGCAGACTGGGAGGCTGACGGTCGGGGTTGAGGCAGGACGGTGCCCACAACTCCCTGGGGTGGAGCTTGGACGGGGGTGTCAGGGCCTATTAGGAAGGTAAGGGGACAGGAGGCAGAGACAGGAGGGGGGCCCTTTGGGGTCTCCTCCTGGGGGTGTGGGGGAGGCCCCGGGAGGGGATACAGGGGCAGAGGGTTTTCCAGCACCCTCCAGGCAGCATGTGGAGTCTGTTTCCTGGGGAGGAGTGTGCTGCCCTGACCTTGGGCTCTAGGGAGGGCCTGGATGCTGCCCTTGCTAGGAACCTTGGCTTGGTGACAGAGGGGAGTGGGGCAGGGGGATGGGCAGGGGCTCCTCCCCTCTCCCCGGGGGGGGGGGGCTTCTCTCTAAGTCCCCCTCCCCCTCCGGCTCCCCTCCCCTGCGTGAGTCCCTCCCCTCTTCCCATCCCAGCACAGGGCCCGCAGGGACACTCACTCCGGGACACTTGGATGAGCTCGGTGACACTGAACACACCGGAGGTGACAAAGCTCTCCTGGAAGTCGGTGGTGTCTGCAACAGGGAGAAAACGGGGGTCACCGGGTCTGTTTCCTTCCTTGACACCATGGGCTACCCAGACTCCGGGGGCTTGGGGGTCACCCTGTCCACCCTCTGCAGCCCTGCAGCGAGATGGAGGAAGAGGCCGGACCCGGGTGCGAATCTTGCCTCCGCTGCCACTGGGGATATGATCTTGGGCAAGTCCCTTCTCATCCCTGAGCCTCGTGCTCCCTCATCTTGGAAATGCCACCTGGGCAGCTGGGAGATAAGAGCCTACAGCCCAGGAGGGGCTGGCTTGCCTGCTTCCCGTCACTTAGTATGCCATGCAGCAGTGCAGCCTGTTATCCATCCCCCTCCAGATGGGGAGCTCCGTGAGGCTGGGGTTCTGCGTGCCCAGGTCCCACGGTGTCCCCTAGTGCCCAGCCCGGAGCCTGGCCCGACAGGGGGGGCTGAAGGGAGGGTCCACCTGCAGCCGTTAAAGTCCCCAGGGTCCCTAGAACCGCTCCTGCCTATAATGCAAAGGAAGACGGACCCTCCTCTCTGGCCTGAGGTGGCTGGGACCCGTTTTGTGGATGTGGACGTGGGTTGGCTCCCAGAGGGCGGGAGCCCTGGCTGACCTCAGACAGCCGGGAGCAGGCCTCTTGTGTCGCCTGAGGCCCCCACAGGCACGATTCACTTACTCAACAATCATTAACCAAGGGCCTCCAGTGTCTAGTTCTGAGCTGGGCCCTGCGGACACCGTGGGAACGAGACAGACGCAAGTGGCTGCCCTCCTGGGACGCACGGTCCATGTGGGCAGTGGGCACCATGTGACATGAATAAGGCAAAAAAACAAAAACAAAAACAAAAAAAACTCTTGTGCGTGAATGTGCATGGTGGCTTGGTCCTGGTCTACAACAGCCCAAACTGGGAACAGCCCATCAGCAGATGAGCCGATACCCAAAAGGCCGTCCATCCACACGCGGGCACGTCCCTCGGCCGCGAGCAGGTGCAAGGTGCCCACATGCACCGCCCCGGGGACGGACCCCGAGCCCATGATGCTCAGGGAGGGGACCAGACACAGGAGGCCCCACAGGGTGTGAGTCCACGCGGGTGACATGTCCAGAACGGGCTCGTCCACGGACCTGAAAGGGGCTGGGGGCCGGGGGAGGGGTGGAGGTGACCACTAATGGTGATGGGGCTTCTTTTTAGAGCAACAGAAATGTTCTAGACGGATAGTTTGCACAACAGAGTGAACGTACTTAATGCCACTAACTGTACATTTGATGTTCTGTGAATTTAACCGCAATTAAAAAATTAAGCTCATGAAGTCAAAGGCGCCGTGTGTTGGACGGCGGCCGGCGGGCAGGGTGAGGGGAGCCCGCTGGTGAGGGGACCTAGTGTACACAAGGGACTCTCAGAAGGCCTTGCAGTGGGCGACATTCTACCAAGACCTCAAGGTGCGGGTGGACCAGAGGAGCAGACACGTTAAAATTTGGGAAACGGCAAGGACAGCACCTGGCGCTGGGTGACCGCCACGCCAGCGAGCGTTGGCTGCCGCTTTCCGGGGTGATCTCAAATGTGGTGTTTTGCCGCCTCCCCGAGGGCCTCGATGTTCCCAGCGATGGCCCATGCATGTTCCCAGCGACCCTGGGGTCGGAGGCCACCAGGGCTGGAGTGACGGGAGCCAGGGAGGACAGGACCAGCAGGTGGGCAGCTCTGGGCTTCCTGGGGCAGCGAGAGCAGTTCTTCTCCAGGCCCCCAGGGGGCAGCACGGGCCACGGGGAGCTGACCTCGAGCCCAGTTCCCCAGCTGTGGGACACCCAGGCCCCCACCGCCAGTCCAGAGACTCCAGCCTCCCCGGTTACAAGCTTTGTGAACACCATTTATTGAGCAATTATTATATGCCCAGCCCCGTGCTGGGAGGCCCAGGGCCACAACATCCCTGGGAGGACCAGGCGATGGCCTCCCAGCATCCAGGGGAAGTGGCCACGGCCGTTTCCTGCCACCCGGCTGGCCAGCTGGTGTCAGCACGCCCCTCCGCCTTCCCCCCACCGGGGTTTCCTGTTTGTGCAGCACTCGCCCAGCTCCATCTCCAGGGGACTCCCTGGCGGGTGGGAGGAAGTGCTTTCCTCCGCCAGACACTGGAGCTCCCCATGGGACCAGGCCAAGCGCCGCTGCCCCCGCCTGCCTCGAACATCTGGCTCGGAGGCAGGCGCCTGGAGATCACAGGAGGCCAAGGAGGACTCAGGTCACAGACGGCCAGTGGTGAGCAGCCTGGGGGCCTTGAACCTCCTGGAACCAGCCTCCCCGTGCTGGTCCTTCCAACGGGGATATCCTCACCCATTTGCTTTTCCGTCCATTCTTCCTTCCTTTTCATCTCTCCTCCCTCCTCACCCCTGGTACACCAGCTCTCTAGTTTCTCTTTTTCTCTCTGCTCCATCCCTCCCTCTCTCTTTTTTTTCTTCTCCTTTCTGCAAATATTTATTGAGCACCTATCGTGTATCCTATTCTAGGCACTGAGGACACAATAGCAATCAGGACAGACAAAAGCCTCTGCTCTCAAGGAGGTGATGCTGCATTAGGGGAGATAAGCAAATGTGTGTGCAGTCACTAAGCAACTAAGCAAATACATATGCAATCACTAACTTCCTCACAAGGAAATAAAACAGAAGGCAGCCATCGAGAGTGGCTAAGGCTGCTTGAGAACAGATCTCTCTGAGAGGGGAGCATGTCACCTGAGACCTGAGTGATCCGGAGAGAGGAGGGCAGAGAGAGAGAGACAGAGAGAGAGAGAGAGAGAGAGCAGTTAGCTATCCAAATAGAGAGCAAAGCACATGCAAAGGCCCTGAGGCAGTGACTGGATCTCGACTGTTGGAGGAATAGTTAGGAGGCCCATGTGGCTGGAGCAGAGAGAGTGAGGAGGAGACAGGAGGGGAAGGCAGGGAGGACACAGGGACAGGTTGTGCAGGGCCTTGGGGGTCAGGGGAGGATTTTTACCCCAAGGGAGGTGGGAATCATGGAGGGCTGCGAGCAGAGGAAGGCAGGACCTGACTCAGGTGCTCACAGGCGCCCCCCCTGGCGACATTAGGGAGGACACACTGGGAAGGGTGAGGGCAGAAGCCAGGGGACCAGGGTGCAGGGGACTCCTCTGGTCAGGAGGGCAATTACGGGAGCAGACCAGGGCAGAAGCTTCCTGGGTGCCCCTGGGAGGGCCCGTAACCTCTCTGAGCCTTGGTGTTCTCCCACAGCAGCACCTGCCCACGCCACGGCTGTGATGAACAAATCTATCAGTGTCTGAGAGATGCCCGCGTGGGGCCATGCAGAGCACACAGAGTGGCTCAGATTCTTAAATAGGAGCTGGCAGTGGGGCCGGGCACCCTCCCCCGTCGCCATCCCCAGACTCACCCAGTGTGATGGGCTTGCTGTCCTCCTGGTCCGAGCCCATCCCTGCCCGGGGACTGCCGCTCTGCTCTGCGTCTGCAGAGAGAAGGAGGAAGAGGTGGTGACATTGCAGGGAACCCCACCCCAGGGAGAGAGGAGACCCCCACCCCTGTGCAGTGCCGTGGAGAGGTGGTCCCGAAGGTGCCCAGGCCCCACGGTCTCCGCTTCGCCCCCTCCCTTGGCTGCTGCCCCACAGGGTCACGGGGGCCTGACAGGGCACCCACTTGCCAGAACCCGTGTACAGGCGCCAGCTCAGTCGCAGGCTGGAGATCTTCCCCTCCTCGAGCCCGTTTATTCACTAACTGGCTCAACCCTGTGCGGCGGGAGCTCTCGTTATGCCCATTTTACAGATGGGGAAACTGATGGCCAAAGAGATGAGTCATTGAGCCCTCAGGCCCCCTCCGCTCAGCCTCTGCCCCTGACATCCTAGGGGTCCAGCCCTTGGTCCTTGGGTTGTCGCTCGCAGCCCCCAGGAGGGGGCGGAGGGGCGTCCCCCTGCAGCTGCTACACCGCCACCCACCCGCCTGGCTTGGGGGCTCCCTCCCACCCCGGCGCCCGCCTCTCCATCTTATCTAAAAATAATCAGGCTCCTTGGCAGACGGGCGAGGCAGACAGACGCTGAGCTCAGCATTATCAGCTCTGGCGGCCTGGATGGAGGGCGAGTAGCGCCAACCCCCCGCGGAAGCCCCCACCACGTCCACCCAGGACCGATGCTGGGGCGGGCGGTGGGGGGCGCACGCGGCCAAGCCCAGCCAGACGGAACCCCCAGCCCTACCCGGCTGTCCGTCAGGTCAAAGACCAAGGTGGCGAGAGGCATCACCATCAGAGGCCAACGAAAGAGCATCAGCCCCTTCCACCTGCCACCCCCCGAAGCCAGGCATCCTCGCTGTGTGACCTCGGGCCAGCGGCTGAGCTGTTCTGAGCGGCCGTTCTCTCTTTCAGGTGCGTGTAAGCATCACCGAGAAGTGGTGGAGAGACGATGCCGACGAAGCACCCAGGGCACGCCAAGGACCGGATACCCGGTGACGTCCATCCCGGTGTCCCTGGCGGTGGGGTTATGTTTGAACCCCTAAGACGACCGTAAATGGGGCGCTTCACTTGAAGTTCCCATTGTAGACGTTCCCCTGAATCCTCGGGAGAGCCACAGCGTTAGCGCACCCCTTTTATAGGCGAGGACAACTGAGGCTGACACCGCGAACAAGTGCTCCTCCCTTACGAGGGTGATATGCTGCATTCGTTTGCACGGGTGCGTCCAGGCACCCAGCGCTGTGCTCAGACGCCCGAGTGCCACCCCAGCCCCGGGAGCCTCAGCAACCCCGGAGTGCCATGGATGTGACATGTGGGTGCCGCCCCAAAACAGCCACGGGCCCTCACCCTTTGCCCTGTGGCCTCACCCACTCCATTTGTGGGGCACCTCCTGCCTGCCAAGATTGAGGATGCCCGAAACCACACCGGAGCCGGAACCTGTGCCTCAGTTTCCCCACCTCCGACAGGCGCAGACGGGAGCAGCCCCAGGCGTGACCCACTGGGCTGGGCACGGCTGGGCAGCAGCCGAGGGGACTGTGCCCGGCTCGGCCCCGTGCCCTGCGGTCGCTCCCAGGCTGGGCAGCCAGCGGCCCCTTGGCGCGGGCCACTTCTGCTTGGACGACCAGGCGGCTGGGCACGGGTGGCCCCTGCGTTGGGAAGAGCCCAGCCCGGGAAGCCGGCCGTCGGGCTGCGGGCCTCGGGCACAGGACCCTCCCGAGGAACCGGCGCCCACACGGACTCAGCAGGCAGCAGTGCCCGGCTGGCACCCGGGTGCTGCCCCGGGGGGGGGGAGTAGTGCCTGAACACCGGCCGCCTGCTGGCTTGGGGATCAGGGCAGCGGGGCTGTGGGCCTCCCCTCCCCTGTACCTCGCTCTCCTCATCCGGGAAGTGGGCACAACTACAGCACGCCTCGCACACGCCGTTCCGGACCAATAGGGGGAGAGTGAATGCACCCCAGTACCCCACCGGGTGGGGGGCTCACGGGAAGCCCGTCATCAATCGGACAGGGGGCTTTACTGCTGTTAGTGCAATGTCCCTCGTTTCCGTCCTGGGTGCTGGTCCTTCGTGTGCCTTGGCACCAGCCGAGAGTGATGACCCTGGGCGGCGGCAGGCTCCAGCCGGGAGCCCTCGTCCCCTTGCTCATTCACTCTGTGACCGGGCCGGCCGGCCACCCCACCTCTCTGAGCCTTCGCTTCCTGAGAGTCCCACGGGGAAGATGGTCAGAGCCGCCTCCAGGCGTTGTTAGGGCGCCAAGGCCGCTAATAATACGTGTGAGAGGGTTGGCACCCGCCGGCTGACATTCACAGAAATGGCAGGCTTGGGGAGCGGCCGAAAGTGACACTGTGCTCTCAATTTCGGTTTCTGATTGTTCGTTGCCAGCACGGGGAACTACGGCCGGTCTTCGTGGGTCGATCTCCTACTCGGCGAGCCCTCCGGAGCTCCCCTGATGGTTCCAGATGTTCGCGTTTGCAGACTCCTTGGAATTTCCTCAGCAGACCATCCTGACCTCTCGTCTGTATGCCGCGGATTCCCTTTTCTTGCCTTATCGCTCTGGCGAGGACCTCCGGCACAATGCTGAGCACCAGTGCGGAGAGCGAGTGTCCCTTCTCGCTTCGGCTCTTGGGGCGGAGTCACTCAGGATCTCACCTCCTCGGTGGGTGGTCACGTGGCTGGCTCTCTGCTGACCCCTGCAATGCTCGTGGAAGGGCTTCTCTTCTCTTCCAATGGTCCCGGGAGCATTTTTGTAAAATTAAATAACTGTAGTTTCTCAAAAATGATACTGTAATTATATGCTATCTTATCAAATTTTTTAAATTTAGTTTCTAGAATGTGCTTAAATATACATAACATATCATAAAATTTACCGTTTAGCCATCTCTAACTGCAAAGCACAGCAGCACGAAGCACCTACCCCGCCGCACCCCCACCCCCACCATTGTCTCCAGAACCTTCCATCTCCCCACACTGACCCCTGCCCCCGCCCCACCCCTGGCTCCCACCATCTCCTCTCTGTCTCTGTGGACAGGCCTCCTCTGGGGACCTCCTGGGAGTGGGGTCCTGCAGGAGGTGTCCTTCTGGGTCTGGGTCCCCTCCCTGAGTCGTGTCCTCGGGGTCCGTCCACGTGGGGACATAGGTGTAGGATGTCCTTCCTTTTAATTATGCCGTCGTATTTTTAATTATCTCTCAACCTTGAAATATTTCTCATCCATCTGCCAACCATTTGCCTGTCATTTGGCTCCTGAAAACCCCGCCTTCTAGAGCTGTCCCCTATGGGAGCCACTCGCCACGTGAGACTTTATTTTTATTTTTTAGGATTTTATTTATTTATACATGAGAGACACAGAGAGAGAGGCAAAGACACAGGCAGAGGGAGAAGCAGGCTCCATGCAGGGACCCGGACGCGGGACTCGATCCTGGGTCTCCAGGATCACGCCCTGGGTTGAAGGCGCCGCTAAACCGCTGAGCCACCCTGGCTGCCGCACGTGAGACTTTAAATTTAAATCTGCTAAATCGAAATTAAGTCAGAATTTCAGGGCCTCAGTGGCACTGGCCACTTTTCCATACTCAATAGCCCACAAGACTGATGGGGACTGAACTGGACGGTGCCAAATATCACCATCACCACAGAAGGGGCTGAGGGCCTGTGGATGTTTCCATGAAAACTCAGGAGCAAAGGGGCACAGATAATCCCTCCTCCTTGCATCTACTCCAGCGGCCCTAAAACACACCTTTCTCTGGCCCAAACAGGTACCTGGAGTGGATAACGTCTCAGGGACGGCTACCGTCCGATGCCCCAGGATGCCCCAGGCCCCGAGCCAGCAGCTCTCATTTGCTGAGTTTCACTGTGCAACGAGCTTCACGGCACCATCTGATTCAACCCACCCAATTGATGAGTTTGGTAAACTGAGGCCAGCCTCAGAGAGCCTATTTCCCAAAACCGATGTCAAGTCAAAGAAGTTGTGTGCCTAGCACAGAAGCACCTCCGCTGGGGGGAGCCTGCCCCTCGGGACGGTATCTGGGGACATCTGTGGTCATCACGACGGGGGGTGCTCCTGGCATGGGGGGCAGGGGTGCAGGGACGCCCCCACAGGCACGACCTGGCCCAGTGTCTGCAGTGCCAAGTGGGGAGACCCTGGTCTGGATCCATCCATTTTCAGTGGGGGTGAAAACCGGTTCGTGCGGGGATGGAGGAGCTGAGGGGTTTTGCTCTTTTGCGTGTAAAACATTGATACGTCCATCTAGACGCGGCACGTGAATAGATGTGTAATATTCCTGTGATATGAAAACTTCACGGAAAAAAAAAAAGAAAACATCACGGAGGGGGCGCCTGGGGGGCTCAGCGGTTGAGCATCTGCCTTGGGCTCAGGGCGTGACCCCGGGGTCCCGGGATCCAGTCCCGTATCGTCTCGTCTCCCCGCAGGGAGCCTGCTTCTCCCTCTGCCAGTGTCTCTGCCTCTCTCTCGGTCTCTCATGAACAAATAAATAAAAATCTTAGGAAAAAAAAACAAACAAACAAACCCAGCTTCATGGAGTGGAGAGATTATAGAAAAATGTCTAAAAAGGAGCATGTCGGGGAAGCAATAATAAAAAAGAGCGGTACGTGTTGTACCCTAGTACATTTTTTTAAGGGATTGTAAAAGGAGAAAGGAGACCATGAGGCAGAAACTATATGAGACCTGCCAGGTCTTAAATATTCGCCCTCTGGGCCCTTTACCGTGAGTGCGGCCTCCCGGTTGCGTGTCACCGGGCACGTCCTCTGACGTCTCTGGGTACCCTTCCGTCATCCATAAACCAGATGTGAACCGCACTAACGTCACCTTGTTCTTTTGAAAGGAATTGCTTGCTGAGCACCTCCTAGGTGTCAGCTGCCCCAGGGGGACACAGCAGCGACCAGGATGCACAGAAGTCCCTGCCCTCGTGGCCCTGCTGTCCTAACGGGGGAGCGACAGGCAACCAACCAACGGGTAAGCAAATAAACGAGGAGGAGAGAGAGCCTCAGGCTGTGCCAA